TCCTCGTTCGGCGTGCATGACAAAACACAAAGTCTCATTATCCTTTATATCATAGTCTGATTTTTATTTAAATCCCTTATCAATGGTTTTCTCGTTCGGCGCGCACAAATTATGCAAAAACACCTTATGACTTTACCTATATATGCATACACCGATTAATATATAAACTGGTTCATTAATTTTCCCTCGTTTCGTGTGCATTCTTTAAGCATGAACAAATTTTGATTTCATATATATATACACAATACTGACACATGCGAGTATTAATTCAAGTAAAATAAAATAAAATAAAATAAATTAAATTAAAAATCAAGGCCACCAATAGTGCCAGTTCGGCATAACAGATTAATTAAAACCCATTATTAAAACATGAAGTACAATTTCCAAATAAATTCATGTAATTAGATTCAATTAATTTATTTAAAGAACCTAGAATTAATCTAGCATGCATATGGTACGAATCAAAGGAGAAGAGAAGAATTAGAACTTGCCTTTAGGGATTAGATAAAAACCCTAACCTCCTTCTTCCTTTTCTCTTCCTTCCTCTTCCTTCTTTCTCTCTCTAAAATATAGTACGTAATATATTTTCTAACCTCTTTCACAACCCTATAATTATATATTTATAGTCAAATAAAATAACACTAATCCTTTTCCCAATCCAAGCCAAACTAATAATAAAAATAAAATAAAATCTAAATACTAAAAAGGTAACTAAAATATATGGTACGTATAATCTATGTGTAATCCTTTTTATATGTAATATATAAATATATATGACTTTCCTTATATATATATATATATATTTATTTATTTATTAAATATACATATACATGGGTAATTATCCGTACCCATTAAACCCCTTATCCAAGTAGTCCATGGAGCCCAATTAGTTGGTCCATTACTACTATCTATATCCAATTCCCTAAAAATATTAAAATAAAAATAAAATAAAACAATTAAATTCCTAAATAAATACACATCATCACACACAATTTCATTTAAACAATTAAATCAATTAACACATTTAACAAATAATTAAAGCAATTAAACAAGTAAACAATTAGCCAAGAAATCAACTAAAAGTAAACAATTAGCCAAGAAATCAACTAAAAGTAAACAATTAGCCAAGAAATCAACTAAATAATTAAATGTAATTAAAAAATTTTTTTTAAAAAAATATCGAGACTATCCTTTTAAAATCAGGGGTATTACATGAAGCGAATGCCCGAATTGCAGACGCGGCTACACGATTCATCGCCATATCTCTCACTTGTGATTTGAATTGAGAGTTTATAACGCATTGTCATGTTTTATAGGTGAATCAAAACTAATTTCCGAAAAAAAATATGGGAGGCAGAGTCAAAACCAAAACCAGCTATTTTTGTTGGATTTTAGTGTGAAATGTTCTATACAGCCTAGTTTTACAAGGCGGAGTCAAAAGTCTTGGATTTGAATGTGAAATGTTCGTCACGGCGCTAGTTTACTCCTAATTTTTCTGAGCTCATTTTTCATCCTCTGTAAATTACTCGCGTGTGCACAGCAACAATGTAACGACCCTAGCTGATGCCAAAATTTTAAAAAAAATTTGCATAACCTCCCCTAAAAATGGGCCTACCACAACCTGTTTAAATGAATTTTTTAACCTGTCCCAGCACAATAAACATATAATACATTCTAACATCACTTTCATCCATTCACCATGCCTTATTTAATTCCTCTTATGGTGGAACATCTACACACCAATTAATCTAAATTATCATAATTACAGTCCCAAAATACATGGTTGAGATTTAAAGTTCCTGTCTTACAATGTTACATGATACAATTGTATGGAAATATATATACCATAATTCCATTAGTGTCATTTACATCAAACAAAAGATAAGTTCGTTCTTAAGTTACAAGGCCATGAATACTAACTTAATTACATTTCCACAACTATGAATATACATAGAATGGTCAAAATACAAATTAGAAAACAACCTTCTAACAACTTTCAAGCTTGAGGTGGATTGTCGTCCACCGGTTAATTTCCAAGACCTAAAAAAAAATAATATAAATATATGGGGTGAGCAAATTGCTCAGTAGGTGACACCTAAGACACGCATCTTGTGTCCCCGTGAACCCAAACAAGGAATAAGACAATAGGAATTGGGGTCATACTGTGTAGGGAAAATACAACGTAATATACAATCTCAACACAATCAATATGGAGCAATGAAATGCAGTGCATGTTAATGTCGCTCCCTATTTTCAACAATTCAAATCCACCAATTTCAAACTGTTAATGTAACCCCCTTTGGTGACTCCGCAACGCCGAGAGAAGGATTGGCTACTGTCCCTGACCTTTGGTGACTCCGCAGCATCATTATGGGGCCCAGATAACTCAACCACGCTAGGGCAATCTCCCTAGTTCCCTCTAAGTTACATTAACCTACTGGCCCGTTGGTGACTCCGCAGCGACCGGGTTTTCTCAAAACTCTTTTTCATCAAAACTTGTTTCCCCCAAAAGTTCCCCTTTTTGTATCAAACAATTTCTTTCCCATTTTGATACCCAATCACATGCATGATCATCATATGCTTTCATGATGCCATGATACATGAAAGATTCATACAATACACAATTTAACATGCTCCCATTCAACAATTTATAAAGAAATTACTAGCACCATAAGCATAATGGAAGCTACACATAGACATGCTTTCCATATAACAAATTCTACCAAGATATAAACACTAAAGCATGTAAAATCAACATCTAAAATCAACATCTAAACATGTTTGTCTCACAAAACCACATATACACATAAACATGAATCTCATTTACAAAACCAAATCATTATTAGAGGTAATCAACTCAATTAAGCACGTTAAGCATCAATTAACAAGGATTAATTCACTAGGGGGCAAGAACTCATGGATTAGAAACCCCTACCTTTTAGAATTGCGAAAACTCTCAAAATGGGTCCAAATTTTGAAGTCTCTAGGGAGCACCAAAACTGAAATTGCTTGTACCCACGTGTAGAGTTCGTCGTACTCTCCGTTTTGCCTCAAACGACACTTAAATCTACCATGTAATGAGAGAGAAATCAAGATCCAAAGTTTGGCTTCCAAAAGAAAAGAAAAATGAAGGGAAATGAGGGAGAGAGAGGAAGAAACGGGGAGAGAGAAAAATGAGAGAGAAGAAGTGGTCTCTAAACCACTAATGCATTAATGGTGGGTCCCTCCACTTCAAATTTTGATTTTCCATTATTCTTTTGTCACAAAATTCTACACCACATAACATGTACAATGTACCACATGCACATACCACTTAATCCACATGAATTTAAATGTACCAATTGCAATTGGACCCAACCACAATCCCGTACGCAAAACGTGAAATGACAGAAATATCTTTGCGGCAACAAAATTTTCAGAAAATTAAAAAATGGCAAAAAAAATCGAAAACGTCACAAGCAAAGTAATCCTCACCTCCACACCGTCCGATGTCTTCTACATTCCACGATTTGATGCTTCATTTTACTAATTCACTTCAAAAATTATTGAGACGGTAAATTTCGATACGAGTTTATTTTTAATTATCACTTAAAATTTGTACTGAGAGTACCCTCATTATATCTTTAATTTTTTTTAATGATAATTTCATTCCTAAATGTGTTCTGTAGTTTGAAGAATTCAATTTTTTTTGGACAAAATTAGTATATTTATTGATGTCAAGAATTTCGTGACGGGCCAATTCTAACTTCTAAGGGAACAGGTTGCATACCAACAAATAAAATTTACAAAGCTCAACTGCTCAAGTAAGCTTTTAAACGATAAAGAGAAAGTCATGTATTGAATTAGACTTCAATTATAAATTAATTTCAAATTTAATTTAAATATATTTTGGTGTACCGTATCAGTATTTTAAATTTAAAATTAGATAAAGCTCAGCTTAAATTTAAACTAAATTTTATTAATTTCAAGTTTGAGACGTTGATTTGGTACTTCCAATTATAGTGATTGAATTCCAACTCAATGAATTGAAATTTCAATCCAATGCAATTCCTATTATGTGAATCTAAATGCAAGCTTATGTTGTGATATTTAAGTAATTTTTTTTTCAAAATTCAATTAATTCAATTCTAATTCTACAACACCAATTTGGTGGTCGTTACCATAATTTTAGATATTTTAACTATAAATTTTCTTTTATGAAAAAACAGTGTCTCATGTGGACTTGACATGTTTTGGCTCAGAAGTGATGATACTCCTCCTTTTTAAGAATTATCTTAGACTTCTCAGCCCATTAGAGAGGAATATGTATCCATTTTTTTTTTGGGGTTCTGTGCTCTCTTTATCATTTATATCTTATATTACAATTTTGTTTTTTTTTTCCCCTTTCTTTTGGGTACAATATGATTTTAAAAACACGCAAATTAATCTCATGGTCATTGTACTATGTGAATTTCTCATAAGTTTAAACTATTACTTGGTGCAATAGGAGAAGAAGTCTATAATTTCAATTTATAAACGTGAAAATGGCGGTTTATATTGAGGTTAGTGATGAATTGCGAAAACAGATATTTTTATAATAATTGTACATATTTGTCCTTATGATTTTTAGATTTAAGAATATTTATTAAATCAAAATATGAAAGTTTTTACCCCCAAAAAAAAAAAAAAAATTCAAAATCTGAAATTACGATATTGATGGTCCTTTGCAATGAGTTCTAGATTTAAACTAATTTAAAGTCATCCCCAATTGGTCCTATGTTTGAGGATAGATATCACACATGCTCGCAATCCATATCATCATGCCATAATGTCCAAGATGTATATAGATAAATAATTAAAGTGGCTCATTATATATATAATATAAAGTTTCACCTTATACATATTTATATAGATATCACACACTCAGGCATGCATATCTTCGACTGAAGTAACATTATTTAGTACACTCCATAAAATATCACTTCAAAGTAGATGAATTTAGTCCCACATAGTACAAATAATTACCATTTAATGGAAATAAAATTTCCAAGTTTTATTTGTTATATATATATATATATATATATATATATATATATATGTTGCTGTAATGATGGTGTATATAATAAGCGTCCTAGTTAGGTTCCTTGGAGTCCAAGCACCAACAATAGTAATCGGACCTTGAAATGTCCAACATTTCGTCTGGGCTCATCCTCTCAAGCTCATTTTGCCTCCATTGTGCAAAGTTGTTTCGGTTCTGTGGGTCAGCAGCAAGTGGGTAAGCCTCCATAAAGTGAACTTGGGATTTCATTCTCAAATAAAGCCTCATTGTAGACACACACTCCTCGTAAGGATCTTGTACACTTTGAATGTCATACCTATTCAACATATATATATAAATTAATTAAGGCCTTCAATATTATAACACTTTGAACACCAATTTAATGTACACACAATTAATGCATAAAGATTTAGTATTTAATTACCCGAGGTATGCTTTTGTTAGGTACTTGAGTGAATTACTGAGCTTGCTTGTTTTCATCAATGGAGGATATTTTGCTGTGTCCCTTTATATGGTCAAATTGAACGCACTGTCGGTGAGTATGCAAATATTATTTTATTATAAAATTTTGGAGCTTGATTGAGGAGCTTACCTTATCATTGTTGGCGGATACTCCAATTCTAGACTTTTAAGGTCATTATCCAGGCCATGACCCACAAGGGTCCTGGATTTGCCTCCTCTCGATCGGATCTTCCATATGGTTTCCCCATTGCATAAGAAGTTTTGGATCTTCCTCTGGACTTGCTTCAGTGGCATTGCATCCCTTAACATTTCTGGCCTAATGCCGGTTGTTTCATACCTAAAACGAATTAATTAATTTCAAACATTAATTAATTTTGATTGTAGTTTTGGGTGAATTCACTAGCTCAAAATCTATACTGATACATGTATATAACTTATATATGGTACCTATAGTTTGTGACTGGAAGGTAGGGTTTGACATATGTGTGAAAGATGATGTTTTCATATTCATCAATGAGGCAAACCCTTCCACAAAGGTCCAGTGAGCCATCACTCCCTCCACCAACCATTTTGCAAGCAAGTGCAACCACTCTTGCTCTACCATCCATCCTCAGGTCCTCATGAGTGCCCAGGTTAGCCATGCGATAAAGTACACCCTTCAACAAAAATATAATACTAGTAAAAAAAAAATTACATTTATAGTGTTAGGGTACTGAAAAATTAATTTTAGTTCGGATTAATACAGGGTTTACTCGTGAGAGTTGGCATGTCTCGCGGTGAAACCTAAGAGCATTACGGTTGCTAAGGATGGCTAAGCAAATATCACAACCTCGATCCTTGAATATCCTTTCACATTCTGCCTTTGGCAATGGCCCTGAGAAGCAAATATATATATGTACATGATATTGATCAATACTAAGAAGAAATGTGAATAACAATTGATATGAGATATAATTGGATTTGTACTAAATTAATAAATTAATTACCTATAAGATGCTCCCTCAAGGACTCAAATGATCGACAATGTTTCCTACAAATTCCACACATTGGTTCATGAACCGAGTGATATGAGGTCCTCATGTGCTCCACCAGGTGCTCCATTTTGTTAAACTGTCTATAGCACGCTGCGCACTTGTTCCTGCTCGAGGAATTAAGTGATTAATAACACTTGTATAATTAATTTAAAGTTTAGCATTGTGTAAAACATATGACTAGTTAACAGATAAAAATATTATATACTTCCTCTATCCCATAATAGTTGGGTGTTTTGGGAGTTCCCAAAGCACCCAACTATTATGGCACAAAAAAAAGTGCTAGCTAGTAGTGAGTTCCCAAAACACCCAACTATTATGGTACAAAAAAAAAGTGCTAGCTAGTAGTTTATGTACGTGACTGAATGTGTGTGCGTGAGAGTGAGTGAGAGAGAGAGAGAGGAGATATTATATGCACCTGAGTGTCTCCTCCATAATATATATAAGTCTAGTAGTGAATGAGAAATGTGAATATATATAGATGCCCAAGAAGAGAATACTAAGAGAGGACTTGAAGAAGAATGTGAGGATGGTAAGGTATTTATAATAGTAGGAGGTAGAGAAAACTTTCTACAACTTGAGCTGAAGGATTGATTCCTCAAGGCCATTACCATACTTGAGTTTTGTCTCTTTTCTCTCCTCAATACTTTCTATGTGTATAGTGTGTATGACTTCCTAACACCCACGCAAAAAATAAATAAAATAAAAAATAAATATTCTTGGTAATCCAGATGCTATGGGCCCACTTTCGACAAGAATATTTTTCTTGTTACGATGGACCTCCCTCTCATTTTAAAGGTTTCTGCTCAGGTGAGTGTTTTCCAGTAAAGATGGGGATTGCCAACTTTCTATGTCTTTCTCTTGATGACATGACATAATCCTAATATATATCCTTGATTATACAGTATATAGAGTGTAGATCCACAATATAAATATATGCCTTTGAACTTACCGAATATATATATATATATGCCTTTGCTATCTGTTTAGCAGTCATGAATAGGTCTAATAGATAGACCTCGAGTTTCTATTATTATTATATTTTGTTAAATATATTCCAATATTACATACACCACTTGGAGGATAAAAAGCAGTATTGTGCATGGTGCAGGCAGCTCCACAGATAATATATAAATGTGAAAGAGCCGCTGTTTTTATGATATTAAAAGGTTCAAACTCTTGTAATTAATTAGATGATTGAGGTTTAATCTTATGAACCCACGGGCAAACCAAATTATCTCGTTCTGCAGATGAGGTATGCATTTCAAGCTGAACAGATTTTCTTTCTTTAGGCTTTTTTTTTTTCGCATAAGTCTAAATTGAGTCCATTAGGTGACGTGTAAAATAATTTGTCCAAAGTTGATGAATAGATTATTTTTATTAAGTTTTAATATATATATTTTTTTATATTTTACTACAATCAATTATTAAAAAATAAAAATATATATATTTTGTAAAAAAAATTGACAACCAAATAAACAAAACTTTAATATCAAGAGAGTCATCTCTCCATATTTCATTATAAAATTGAGACTTATTAAATAAATTTTTTAATTTATCAGATATTTCAAAGAAAATAAAAATCAATTATGTAGTCAAATAATAGACCCTGTTGATGGCATTACGTATTCACGTGTATATATTAGTATTAGTGTTAGTTACTTGTGTGTGTGTGTGTGTTCATCCTTCACACGGACACATAGATGAGGGGATTGTTGGGTCACCTGGATGGCCGGTTTGTTGGGTCGATTTGGCACCGACGGAGGAATTGTGCATTGTCGGTCTTTGTGGTCGTTGATGGTGTTGTCGGCAGGGACGGAGCCAGGAATTTGTTTCAGGGGGCGTCATATTAAAGATGATAAATTATATTTTTTTCAAGCGAAAAGTGATGCAAGACAATAAATTAAAAAATAAAACTGTAATAATGGTGGAATAATAGCATTTAATAATTTGAAAAATAATTATTTTTTAAAAATAAGAACATAAAAATACTGACCTTAAGACAACAAATTTAATTACCAAACTTTGAAGAAGAAGAAAAAAAAAAAAATGTTTGAATAAAGGAATGCAAATTTTTTTTAAAGAGAATATAAAGAAGAAGAAGAGGATGAGGAGTAATAATGAAAAGAAAGGAAAAATTAAAGATATTTTTTAAAAATAATTATTTTAGTGGGTATTTTTGTAAAATTTTATAAATTATAGGCCTATTTAGAATAAAAATTAATTGGCCCAAGGGTAAATAATTATTTCAGGGGGTATTTTTTAATTTTTTTATAAATTATTGGCCTATGTGTAATAAAAATTAATGGCCATTTTCTTAAAAAAAATTATTTCAGGGGAGGCTTTTTGAAAACTTTTATAAATTTTAGGGCCATTTTGTAATTAAAACTAATGGCCCAACATGGGCCCCCCTGGGCCTATACTGGCTCCGCCCCTGGTTGTCGGCTCGCTTGGTGACGTCCTGGGTGCTGTCACGAAACTTTCTAGTGGACGTTGTCGGATGGCTGGTGGTGGGTCATGTGCAAGTGATTATTTTAATTTACATTCCGCTGTCATCTCCTGATATTATGCTGGGTAAGCTCCTGCTAGGTTGTCGGCGTTGTGAGGTGAATTATGGTCTGGTTGCTGGGAGTCGGGGATGGCGCTATGTGATAGTTCCGGAGTGGAACTTGTCGATGTGGTGGGTTCTCCGCCTGGGGTTAGCGCTGACTACTCGGCTTGTTGCCGCCTATGATGGCTGTTGCGTTGTGCTCGGCGGTTCATCCGTGGTGACGTCATGGCTGATGTGTAGGCTAGGTACTCTTCACAGTTTCATTTTCTTTGTGGTGGGCTAGGTCTTCAAGTAATTGGACTCTTTGCGTGTGGCGGTACAATTTCATTTTCCCCGAGGCCTCTGTTTTCATGTTTATCTCATGATGTCCGGCCTGATGTTTACTTGCTATGGGACCATTTTATTGACGCTACTCATGCTTTGTTTAAGTCGGTGTTGCACGTATGTTTCCGAGGTCTGTTTTATAATGAGTTGCAGCCTTCTCTTCTCCCCGGTGGCTTGATGTGTATGAATACTTTGAAATTTTGTGTATGGCAGTGCCTCTTTGTCTCTAGGAGGTTGTGTTGTGTATGAAGGTGTATCTTTCTTTGTTTGTGATGCTGATTTTTCATGTAACTGACATTTTCTTGGTTTGTCAAGTCTGTGATCTTGACTATAAGAGGTGTTAGTTAGGTTTGGTTGGTTAAATGATTGTTGATGTTAAATGTATCTCTAATTTTATGTCTTTGGTAGGTGTTCTTGTACGTAGATGTGATTTTTTTTCTTGTCAGGGTAAAATAATAATAATAATAAATGAGGGGATTCCACTTTTGAAATGTGACGAAGGTCACCAAGACTATCTTTTTGTCTATTGTGGGACCCAACATATATACTGTTGCTTTGAAGATACCCAGTAATAAAGATGCGCTTATGTTCTGCTGGTCCACCATTCTATCACTTTCTACTTCGAATGTCAAAGCCTTGAGTAAAATTGACCAAAGCGTATCTTGTATCCATACCTTCACGTTGTGAATTTGATTGGCACATGACTATCGATTCTAGTTTCTTAAATTATACCACCCTTTATCTAATATTCCAAGTAATTAATATTTTTGCCAAATACAATTATAAATTTTCATTTAAAATCCTTTTAAAACTTAATTAAAAACATTTGATCCATAAATTGGTGACATGACAAGTGTTGGAGACGAAAAATAAATATAATAAGATACAAATATATACACACGCGCCCAAAAGGAAGAGATGGATTGAAAATTCTTTTAATTGTAAATCATGCCTATCTCAACAGATACTTAAAAATCTAAATTATATTTTCAACACGTTATTTAAAAAATTTCAACACTTCATGTTTTCATTTTTGCACATGGTGCTTTTTGCACACTGTTGCTTTTAATTTTTAGATTTGTGTCTTGAACAATAATTTTATAGATTAATTATCCAAAAATAAATATTAATTTTATAGATTTTGACACTTCCCCTTTGCCATCATCTTTCCGTTCCTTAAACTAGCTGTCATTTCTTTCGCAATTTTACATAACAATTCGAATATATATTCAGGTTCTTCTTCATCATTCCTGTATCTCTGACTTTTTCATAAGTGTTTGTCCAATTTTATTTATTTATTATTCTTTGGTGGTATTTGTCAAATTCGAATTTCTACTTTCGGCGAATAAAGTACTAGTTAACTTTAAAGGTTCTTGTCTCGCATCATACAAGAATTTTCAACACGCTCAAGTAATTAAAAAATATTCAACACTCCATGTTTTCATTTTTGCACATGGTGCTTTTCCTCCACTTTCTTTTTTGCACACTGATGCTTTTATTTTTATCTTGAACAATAATCTTATAGATTACTTATCCAAAAATAAATATTAATTTTATAGATTTTGACACTTCCCCTTTGCCATCATCTTTCCATTCCTTAAACTAGCTGCCGTTTCTTTCACAATCTTGCATGACAATTCGAATATATATCCAGGTTCTTCTTCTTCGTTCATGCATCTTTGACTTTTTTCTAAGTTTTTGTCCGATTTTATTTATTCATTACTCTTTGGTGGTATTCGTCAAATTCAAATTTCTACTTTCGGCAAAGTGCTAGTTAACTTTAAAGGTTCTTGTCTCACATCAGATATCGTATTTAAATGAAAAATGTCTTAAACTTAAAAGAGTGAGCAGATAATTTCCACGTGAGAGTTTAAACTTTTGAATCAGATGACCAACTTATTACAATCTTGACCATCACTCAACTGGATTGTGTTTGATTCGAATTGTTACTGGGTCGTTGAACTTATACCGGCGGGTCATATTTTGGTAACTTTCTATTTGCTGAAGAGTGATGGGTTCACATTTCATTTAGACGGACTCGACAACTCGGGGAATTTTGCTTCCTTGTAACTAGGGGAACCTCGTCTTTGCTTTGGACAAACAGAAAAATATATATATATATATATATATATACATATATATATATATGTATGTATGTATAATCTTATATAGAGAGAGAGAGGGGCTGAGAAGGGGGAGGAGACTTGAGAGGACCATTGGGTGTCGATTAATGAATATACGAAGGATACTAAGTTGAGAGTCAAATATCGGGAGAAATGAAACCACTAAGCAATACTTTTCCCCACATCACAATTGGAGCATACCCTGAAAGAAAAGAAAGGAAAAGGAAAGGGCATTTGATTCTTAAAACCCCCAGCCAATCGGTCAAAAAGCAATTCTATTTACACCAACTTGCACTGGTGGGACCTATTCAAACTTACCCACCCCTCCCTGAAATGCATGCACCTTCACGATTCCATGATTCTTCAGTCACCGTACTAAATTGTTCGATTAAATTCTCAGCAAAATTTGCTCTTTAATCAAGTTATCACAGTAATTAATTAAGCTTAGATGTATGTTAATTAACTTATTATACTCCGTATATGCTTAATTAACACCACATCCACATGTGCTCCAGTTCTTGCCCAACATTGCGGCTTACTTAAATGCAAATTAATTACGTAATGACATGAGCCTACATGAATAAAGGCTGTTACCCAGTCTTCATCCAAGCTAGGTGTGTGCTGATGGAGAAAAACTTGACAGTTTATTAATTTATAGGCTAAATTGCACTGACACCTCTAAGTGTGGTAAATTGAACAAAGATACATTTAACCATTATAAAAGTATACACTTACTCTTTGATTTTTGAATTGACCCATGTGAATCGTTAACTTACTTTTATAATCTCTTATTAACTGACCAAAATGACTCTCAAGAATGAAAAAACAAATAAAAGCCATCAGCACCTCTATCTTTGTTAAGATTCGAAATTGGTTGTGGGTGTGATGGGGTGGTTGTAGATAGTGGTGGTGGGTCGAAATTGGTTATGGGTGTGATGGGGGTGGTGGTGGGCAATCATCCTTGCCTACTTCGTCATTCCGAAATTGGTTGTAGGTGGTGTGATGTGGGTGGCGACTAGGGGTGACAATTCATGTTTGTGGGTCATAAATCATAATCATGTTGTGTCGATATAAGGATATTTTACTAAATAGATAAATCCAAACACGACCTATTTAATAATCGTGTTAAGAATCTTTAACACTAACCTGACCTGTTTATTAAACAGGTTAACGTATTAAGTCATTTAATGATCTGTTAAAACGACTTAAATATTCAAAATATGAAGAAAAATCATATGGTGTAGTCAAGGTTTTTTTTAAAACGACTTAACTGTCCATAGTAATTGGATTTAAACAGTTAACATATTACATAAGTTATATTCATGTTTATGACATGTTGAGTTAAACGGGTATAAACAGATTATACGTGTTGAATCCTATCAACCTTGACCCGACACGGTTAAGTAAACGAGTTAATCGTGTCAACCCGTTTATGACCTGAACCCGTTTAAATTCAACCTGAACTCACTAATCTCGTGTCGTAATTTGTCACCCTTAATGGTGGCAGGTGAAATTGGTTGCGGGTGTGATGGGTGGTGGCGGGTTCATTTGGAGGTGGTTGTGGGGTGGTGGTGTTGGGTTGAAATTGGTTGTGGGTGTAATGGGATGGTGGCATGTGTGTGTAAGAAAGGAAAGAGGCCTAATTTGGGAGTGGTTGTCGCCCTGGTTGTGGACGATGCGTTGCTGGTGGGCAAAAAGTGTGGTGTATATTGACTGAGGATGGTTTGGTCATTTTAGGTGAGGTGATATTTTATTATGGACATATTAGATATTTTATTGTCATTATTTAAAAAGTGCCTAAATTTTAATTAGTTATTTTTAATCCAAACTTGAAGGATGTCGATATAATTTACACTAATTCATAACATAACACTAGTCTATATATAGTCGAAGTTTTGTGAAGGCATGTCTCCCTATTAAACCGGGATGGAGTAACTAATATATGTGAAATCAGTAATTCTTTGTTATTTGAACATGGTCATCTCTAAAGATATAATTTCAAAGTGCTAAATGTATACCTAAAATTCATCCCTTCTGATATTCTCATGTATCAAGAAAAACCATCACAATTTCATATGCTGCAAATGGTTGGTGTTTTTTTTTATTTTTTATTTTACATCATTTGGTTGGATGCAAAGTTGCAAACACTCCACAATAACGCTGTGATGATTAGTAGTGTAGTGGTCTATCAATTGCATTTTTTCTTAATAAACTGCTCAATTCCCTTTTCTAGATCCATCTTCACAGACGAGAAAGAGTGGGGATAAGGAAAAAAATACGAACAGTAAATATGTTTGACTCCTTTCCTCTGATAGGAATTTTTTTTTTATTTTTTTGTAGCATTGATACTTTAGTTCACTTGGTCGTGCATATATGGGTGTGTGTGTATATATATATCACGAGGCCATCATTGCACATTGCTCACAATGTCAGCCTTTAACTTTGTTCTCCTTCAATTATTTTTCACTCACATTTTTTTTTTAGTCAAACGGGGAAAGAAAGGAAGGAACCTTTTCCGACACAAAAGATATGACCTTTCCCTGCCAAAAGATCCAGCTGAGAATTATTATGTATGGGGACTATATCATTCCCGTCAATTATAACCAAATAATTTTTTAAAAATTGTGATTAATCGGGATTATATAATCTCAAATTATATAATAATTTTATAAAAATCTTACATGGTGATGGAACCAAACACACTCTATAGAAATCAAATTTATATATATTATCTAGTAAATCCTAAGAACTTCTCTAGTTTCTAGTTACAATCTTCTTCTTCCTCCTTTTCATTTTTATTCTTTTGGTTCTTTGCACTGAACCTAAGAAACAGATAAGGGTCATTTTTTTTTTTTTTTTCGCCATACTCGATTTGACAATTTAGAACACTCCACGTCAACTTATTAACATTTATTTTAAAATTTTCTGGTTTCGACTATAATTTTGGGTGGGAGTTGTCACTGTGTATTAAAATAATAGACTTGTCTCCTATTATTAATGATACAAGATTAAAAATATTGTAATACAAGACTAAAAATTACAATATTTTTGTAACATGCAAGACGAAGTCTAATATGCATCACTAAATGAAGAAGACTTGACACTAAAAGATTTTAGTCATGTCACTTTTGTTGCAGCTGTCTAAGATAAGAACTTATTAAAAGAGAAGTGAATTTATAAAATATAAAAATAAAAGTTGGTGGTGTATCATTTATAGATTCCTTTTCATGGAATTAGCAGGCCACCTACTCTCAAAAGGAACATTTGATTGATCCATGGCGCTCAACTTAATTATATGATCAGGATTAAACCCTTGCCCTTGTTAATTATTTTGAACACTAAGGATGACAATAGAGAGTATTTTTTTTTTTTTTTTTTTTTATCAAAGTAAGAAGGGTTAGAAGTTAAATTAATAGATGTAGAGAGCTTCAAAATTCACCGAAAGTACTAACCCACAGAATTATCGAGGCATCTGTAACAACAGAGAGTATTGAAACATATGAAGACTTTTTATTCAATTATTTTCTAGACTTCTTCTTTGAGGAGCAAAAGCTAATACTGCTGATCACTTGGACCTTTTGATTTCTCAATCAAAATAATTTATGTCTCGAGTTTAATTAGAGGTTGATGATGTCCAGGACTTATCCTTGCTTTGTCATGAAAGAAGAAATAATAAAGCGAAAAAAAGAAAAAAGAAAAAAAGAATTGAAATAGATTGAGGCTGAATCATGAGTTGAAAACTTTTGTGAGGACGGTCTGGGACCATTGGCGCACTCACCTAAAAAATTCCCAAGCATAGGGCCCTAACCAGCAACCAGGGGTTGGTTACACCGTCAGAATATAGTGTGGTTATGATAATGTTGATAATAATAATCAATTCAGACATGAGTTTGGTTTCAGTTACAGCTTAAATCTAAATGTTTCTAATTCTTAAATATCTTAATCCTTTAAATTTTGCTGTTACATAGAATCTTCATCTTCAATAAATATAGAAAAGACTCCTTTTCGTCTACTATATATATCAATAATTATAGCCTTTATATAGTATTTTTGGCATCCTCCAATCATTTGGTTTTCAATTGTTCATTTTCTTAACATGGTACATAATGGAGTTGGATGCACCTACATATTAAACATATAATACCTCTTTTTTTTTTTTTTTGGGGCAATTAGGAAGCATCAAATCATTGATAAAATATATTTTAAAGTAAAATATTCCAATTGGTTTGATATTAATGTAATGCATAATGCTAACAAATTACATTTCTATGTCAAGATTAGTGCAGTGACTCCAATGCTAGTAAATTTCAACTTCCTCATGTAGACTTCATTTGATTTGAAGGAATTTAAATGTATGGAACCATAATTTAATTTTAAACTTAGCGATTTCAATATATCTTTCAGAATTCTAATCTAAAATAATAAGGAGGACAAAAGATAGAACAAGTTTAATTTTAAATTTAGCAATTTAAATATATCTCTATATTTAACGATGTCCACAACTCTAAATTTAAATTTAATTTTAAATCTAGCGATCTAAATATATCTCTCATAATTCTAATCTAACATCACTTTTAGAGTCTTAGACTTTAGTATGGTCCTACTTCATTAGCTAGTCCTTTTATTTAAATTGAATCATTTGTTTCAAATTTATTCATTTTAATCAAACTATTAGGAACTCATTCGTTAAACCAATATCTCATAAATCCAAGATGTGAAAGAGTATCTTCATCAGTCTTTTTTTTTTTTTTTTGTCTTTTATTTACCAAAAATAATAATTTTTAAAAAAAACTTACCGAAAAAAAAAAAAATATATATATATATATATATATATATATATATATATATATATTAACGGGGTGAGGCTGTGGGCCTAAGGTTTTTATTTGGGCCTACAACCAGGAAAGCTACTGGGTCCTCTGCTCTCAACATTAAAAATAGCTGGACTGTCCAAATATGGAGCCCCACGTATCCCCATCAGATCCAGTTCAGATGGTCTATCTGCCTTGAGAGTGGACGACCAACTGACGAACTGCGCCATTAACGAAACCCAAGTAACAACCAATATAATAACGCCACGTAACAAAAAGACTGGTCCCACTTAAAGAAGCACCTAACTATGCTGCCATGTGGAAGCAAGTGATTGAATCATCAGGATCTCTCAGTGACAGTGCTGTCACGTAAACACTCGGTGTGTTTCCGCGTTGAAAAGCCGTTAATCGCGCCAACTCTCTCAATGCCAACAAAAAAAATAGCAGAATCGGCGGTTGTAGGCGGTGGCGTTGGCGGTGGGAGAGAAGTCGCCTTCATTTTTGCTTCAACATTTAACATCTCTGCAACCCCACAAAAATACATATACATATATGTATTTATTTATTTATCGTTTCAATTATTTGATTCCCAATTACCCATTTTGTCCTATTTAACATCCTAAACTCATTTCTTTGCATATCAAATTATCAACTTATATACATATATATATATATACCCGTCTTCTGTTTCTATATATTCATAAATCCAGATAACATAATACCTTCATCTTCGCTTTCTTGGTGGATTTCTAAGGTACGGTCTCTATTTTCATCCATTGATTTATTGTTTCCTGACAATTTTTTGGTTTTTGTTTATAATGATTTCTTTCTACAATTATTGTTGAATTTTTGTAAGTAGTTGTTCAAATTCTGTTACTCCCAATTTATGTTGTTTGGTTTTTGAATTGTTGGTTTCTGTTTTAGTAATTTGTTGAGATATGTGGGTAAACGAATTGAAATCCATTCTGTTTTCTGTTTGTTCTTTGATTTATTATTGTATAAAAACTTCATTGAAGACAAATTTTACAATCTAAAGATCAAAGGTTTATTCATTGAACATATTCTTAGGCTTAATTTACCGGGAAAAAAAAAATATAATAAAAAATATCTCTTAAACATTTCATTCTTGCTCTGAATTGAAATTGGAACTTTTGGCTATAATGCAAAATTCTGGAAACATTTTTTTTTTCTTTCTGAAAATGAGCAGTTTGTGTCACTATTTATGCATTATTTTTTGCATTTTGCTACATAACACTGATGAAATATTGATTCTGTGCAAACTTTTTATAAGAATGGATTGTTTTTCATTTATTTATAGACATTTTTGCAGCAATTGTAGTGTTCTTGTTCATTCATACAGAGCGTGTGTATGCCTGAATTCATCATGGAAGGACAAAGTGAAGATAGCAATGGAAAAGAGACCAATGGACACTGTGTCCCTTACAAGGAAAATTTCAGTGTGAGGTCTCCAAGAAGTACATTGAGTACACGCAGTCCTGAAAGTGACTCCATTGACCTAGCTATAGATGGGGCTGTTGACACCTCTATCGAGCAGCTATATCACAATGTCTGTGATATGCAGAGCTCTGATCATTCCCCATCAAGGAATAGCTTTCTGTCATATGGTGAGGAGTCAAGGATTGATTCTGAATTGCGCTATCTTGCTGGAGGAAATTATGGGGAATTTGAGATAATGAAAGACTCAGGGATTGAGAGCAAAGATGGTGCTACTAAGAAAGAAAATGGATCAAAAGAGAAAAACTCTCAATTTCCAAATTCCAAGTCTCTTTCTTCTACACATTCAAAGAGGCTCTCTCACTTGAAATCAGAATCCGAGGCATCCTCAAAATTGAATACAAGAAGCAAATCCTTGAATGAAAGACCTCCTACTGGTAAGCGGAATGGGAAAAGTTCAAGAAAAATAAATGCAATTTTTTCCATGAAGAATGAAAGGAATTTTAGTTTAGGAGGGGAAAAGTTGCAGAATGTGACTGAGGATCCTATGGAGGAAGGTTACCTTGGACCCTATTTACTTAAGAAGGCAAGGAACCTGGTTTCATCAGGGGATAATCCTCAGAAGGCTCTCGAGTTGGCTCTTCGTTCAATGAAATCATTTGAGAGATGTGGAAATGGGAAGCCCAATTTAGAGCTAGTCATGTGTTTGCATGTTATAGCAGCACTCTACTGTAGCTTAGGCCAACACAGTGATGCAATTCCAATTCTTGAGCACTCGATAGAAATTCCAGTGATGGATGAAGGCCAAAATCATGCACTAGCTAAGTTTGCTGGGTGTATGCAGTTAGGTGATACATATGCAATGCTCGGCCAGATTGAGAATTCATTATTGTGTTACACCGCAGGACTAGAGATCCAAAGACAAGTTCTCGGAGAAAAGGACAGCCGATTAGGTGAGACTTGCAGATATGTGGCTGAGGCTCATATTCAGGCATTGCAATTTGACGAGGCTGAAAAGCTTTGTCAGATGGCACTTGAAATTCATAGAGAGAATAGTTCACCTGCTTCACCTGAAGAAGCTGCAGATAGGAGACTTATGGGACTTATCTGTGACTCCAAGGGAGACTATGAATCTGCTCTTGAGCATTATGTTTTAGCAAGCATGGCCATGGCTATGAATGGTCAGGAAATAGATGTGGCTTCCATTGATTGCAGCATTGGTGATGCATATTTATCTTTGGCTCGGTATGATGAGGCTGTTTTTGCTTATCAGAAAGCACTCACTGCCTTCAAGTCAACCAAAGGAGAAAATCATCCATCCGTTGCTTCAGTCTTCGTACGTTTGGCTGATTTGTACAACAAGACTGGAAAATATAGGGAATCCAAATCTTACTGTGAAAACGCACTTCGTATTTATGCAAAGCCCATTCCAGGGAGTCCCCCAGAAGAGATTGCCAGTGGTCTAATTGACATTTCTGCTATCTATGAATCTATGGATGAACAGGAGCAAGCACTCGAGTTACTTCAGAAGGCTTTAAAGATGTATGGCAATGCCCCAGGCCAGCAAAGCACAATTGCCGGAATTGAAGCTCAAATGGGGGTCTTGTATTATATGATGGGGAGTTATGCTGATTCTTACAACTCCTTCAAAAATGCCATTTCAAAGTTTCGGGTAATTGGAGAGAAGAAATCTGCACTCTTTGCAATTGCTCTAAACCAAATGGGACTTGCTTGTGTGCAGCTTTACGCCATCAACGAGGCTGCTGATCTGTTTGAAGAAGCAAGGAGTATTTTGGAAGCTGAACATGGACCGTATCACCCTGATACACTAGGGGTTTATAGCAATCTTGCAGGCACTTATGATGCAATGGGCAGGTATCTACTCTCTTTTGTTTCATCTTAGCAGCATTTTTTATTGATTGCATCTTTGCAGCACTACATATGCTTTAAGCCTTTAACCAGGTCTTGCTCTTGTTTTGAGTTGTTTACTTACACGGTGAGGATACTACGTGCTGTGTTGTGACCCTATTTGAGCATTAAGTAGTTGTTTATGATACTGATGTAGTCTGTCCCCATTGAGTATATTGAAGGTATCATTCGCTGCGAAACCATTCATCTGGTTGATTATTATTATTTTTTTCTTATTCTGGATTATTTTTTAGTATAAAGAAGCCTGAAGTTTTTTTGCATTTCTTTCTAAGTAAAAGGAGCCTAAAAATGCTAAAACTTTGAAGAATTTATACATTGGTTAACTGCACATTGGATGATTTTTAGCCTTGTTTGTTTCATCTGTATGCAGATCAGCTGATGCAATTGAAATACTGGAATATGTTGTCGGGATGAGAGAGAATACGCTTGGAACAGCAAACCCTGATGTTGATGATGAGAAGCGGAGATTGGGCGAGTTATTAAAAGAAGCAGGCAGGGTTCGAAACAGGGAATCCAGATCTCTGGAGACCCTCCTTGACACCAACAACTCTCATACCATTGTAAAAGATGGCATTGAGGTACTATGATGCCTGTGATGTATTATTTTTACTTGAATGTACATGTCTCAGAGAATATATTAGATGGTCACTTTGAGAATTGGAAAAATAAAAGTTTCAACAGCAAGGCGAGAATTTTGGTTCCAACTGTCAATTTTATTTTCTTCGGGATCAAGGGAAGAGATTAAATGTCGCTGTCTTTAATTGTTTAAGCAGTTGATGGAATTCCTTGTCAATTTGCTGTTTGTAATATCTTCTAGCTTAATAAAGAAATGGTGAGATTTCATTTTCCCTTGATGTAATTCCTTTTCTCAACTTGCCTGTTGAATACTATTTTGTGTTATAAAGAAATGGTGGGTTTTCATTTTCCTTTGCTGTTGCACCAAACTGACTATTAGAGAACAACTGCAATTCTCTCATGCATCAGTGAGATGCTGACCAGTCTTTTTTTGCTGTCTTTATCATTTGATGTAAATTAGGAGTTGTTTGGGCACAAGATTTCTAAATTTAAGCCAAATGAGAGAGAATATAGTAGTAACCATTTTGAGCAATCTGTCTTTTCTGAAATACAAATCTTTTAGTAATTACCAGCTAACTAAATTTAGATAATAAAAAACAGCTTGTAACATCATGATATATAGCGTCAAAAACTTATAAGATAATTCTGGGAAAATGTCTCTTATTTTGCATAAAAAGCATAGAATAAATAAAAGAGTACATAATGCAGGCCAAAATCCACCAATATTTATAACATCACTAACCGATACAGATAACATTAGGCAGCTGAACGGTGGTGGTTGATTCATAGCATCATGGAACTATGACAAGCCTTTGAAATTGAAACAGGGGGCTCAGACAGGGTACCATTGAGAATGATGTTTGCAACCAATCGATTGGCTGCCTCAGAGTAGTGTATGCCGTCCCAGCTTATGTGGCTTGATGGATTATTGCATGGATTACCATATGTTGTTCCATTCACTATTGCTGTCTTACCACAATTTATGTGATAACCATAATAACTGCCACAACAGAACTTCAATGGATCATCAAATCCTGCCATCACAAAGCCAAAACAATTAGGGTTTGCAGTCTCTAATGGACAAAAATCATGTAACAAGTTATTTTAAGTGCGCTCAACTGTCATACTGACTGATTGTAGTTGAGCTTCGTGTCCAACATTCTTCATTAGTAAGTTTACCTTGATTCATCGCGTTGCTAATTACTGCATATTTAGCAGAATACACATCAACATATGTGAATTTTGCACTTGGGAGCTGTGCCCTTAGCTGGGACACCCTGTCCTTTAGCTGCCTGTTGAACTCCTGAGCCACCCCATTATGAGGCTTCACGCATCCATTTTGGTCCAAATTACCAGACTTTTGTTGGTAATATATATTGCTGTATGGCAAGCAGCCAATTGGGCCAGTGTTATGTACCCAGAAGACTCTCGCCCCTTCTTTGTATAGTTGCTGAAACATCATTGATTGTGACACACATTAGTTTTGATCCTCATTTGATAAAAGATGGGACTTGAAATTTGTATCCTACATCATGTTCAAAAAGTAGTGTTGTTTACATTCACAGCTTGTGAGAACTTGTCGAGGATATCAGGAATGGAAGCTAGGACTAGTTCCTCATTTGTATGTTGAAAACCATAGGCAAGATCGTTCTGTCCAATGTCAAATGTGTACAGAGCCTTTGAGAAGTCCTGGGGCCTTGGAAGACTGCTTTTAAACGGCGGGGTTCTCCCTGAATGAAAGCAAATTAATCACATGTTCATATCCTCTACATTTTAGCAATCCTAGAATGTGCCGGCCTTAATTAATCCTTTTGAAAGAAACTTGTTTCAATCACATTTCAAAGGATATGACTTGATGATCAATTCCAATCACATGCCATGTGTGAGCTTAAAAAGGAAGCAGAGAGGAATAACTCACTGTTGTCACTGAGTTTCTTATAGAGGGCAGTGGTGCGTGACTTGAATTGTATGAACTGAGAGATTTGATAGTCTAGGTGGAAAGGGCTATAGCCGCCTGGACGGATGGATGAACCTCCTGTTGCAAAATTTGCACCGTGCCTGAAATTCGTACCAATTGAGTCCAGATAGGCACTCAAGTATGGCAACCCCAAATTCTCAGCTGCACTGGATGGTGAAATCAATTAGAAATATGAAATGCGGATATGTAGTATTCAAACTCGCTCACAACAATGATGTACAAGTTGCTGTGGCAGTCAAATGGGGTGGTAGCAATATCAGTTTGGATGTTGGCACCTCAAGGGTATATTCGTAATTTACTCTCAAGGATGTCAAATCCCAAAGAATTTCAGTTTTGGTATATTCGTATATTTGTAGACAAGAGGGCTGGACACTGTTTTTATGGATACTTGAAATCAATCAATGTGAAGGCGAGGAAGCATCACTGGGCATCGAACCGACACTTTATTTAATAATTAAACACTAGACTAATTATAAGGTCTAAATTTAGCAGACTTAAGTCTAATAGCAGTCACTTTCGTTTGTAGTAATTCACTAATCACAACACTTGCCATAGCCTGATAATACAGACGGTAAAATAAACACCAAGGACTAAAACTCTATTTTACAACTCACAATGGGGTGGCCACTGCACCACCATTAGGAGTGTAGTAGTGTAAACTCCTCCAATCTCAAAGCAAAACTGTAATAATAAGCATGGTGAAATTAAGACGGAGTAAATATACTGAAGTGTAGAATGATATATATGATTAGGGCACTGACCTATGAAATCTATGATGAGACGACCATCACAAGCCCTTCCAGAGGGCTTGCCAAAGAAGGTTTCACCATTGGGCGGAGGCAGCTCATCAAAGGCCGCTGATCGACCCCCAGTGTCCGAATTTGAGTCTCCAAAGTTGTATATTGCCGGGAAACCACAGCTGCTTGAACCGCCGCCGCCGCCGCCACTGATTACTCCACCAGCCAATCCAAAAACCAACAACCCACATACCCAAATTATCATACTTATCCTCTCCATGGCCATGCTTAGCACTTGACCAACACTCTTATGACCAGTTACATGTACAAACACATGCAAGTGTGAAATAAGTGTGGTCTGTGAAGTGTGAATGGGTATGCATCGAGTGGGTCCCAGAGACTGATCACGTGAAACGGTAGGATCCAAATACAAGAGTCGTCATCGATCTGCCTTTTTCTCAGAGGATTTTTAAACACAAACTTTGGGTCATTATTATCTAGGCATCTAGCCAAGGACGGCTGCGCTACTGCACGCGCTGTTACGTCAACGGTCTGGTTCGGGGTGGACCATTCATTTCTCAAATTCATTCTGATAATAAAAATGGACAATAGTTAGCTTATGACCGGTAAGAATTTATAATATGCTCCTTATTAACGTGAATTAATAATAAATTAACATATATTATTTTAATAATCAAATCATAAATAATAATTAAATCACTATCTCTGATTTGGTAAGTAAATATCTATCTACTTATCGTCATTGATCGTTATAAATCCTCACTAATGCCGTCATCAGTGGTTAAATTGATTCCTAAACTTAACCCTTTCACTATAATTAGTTTAGCCTTACACTTACGTGATCTAGTTCACCACAATGTGATGGGTCCCACATATTTGTGAGTGGGCCAGACGACATCAATCTTTGAATTGTCTCATGCTTGGAAATTTGATTAATATGGAGGCCACCCAAAGAGTAAAGCTTTTACAAAAAAAGATTTAATGCTGTGTTTTCTCAATTCTAAAAGGAAAGGGAAAATAGAACTCCAGTGAACAGACTGAAGCGTGAAGCAACAATGCGTAGGCGTGAAAGAAGGAAAAATAGTAGCGGAGAGACTGAAGTGTGAACTAGAAGTGTGTAAGCATGAAATGGATAGCAAATAAATGAAATGATAGTTTATGATAATCTTGTTGGAGTCCTTAGGAAGGAAAAGAAAGCAAGAAATAATGGTACCTGAGAAGTGAGACCTCAAAAATAAAGAAAGAAAGAAATAAATAAATTATACTTTCTCATATTAGATACTTTGGAAATACTGGTGTAAAACAATAGGGAACATTGGTATTGTTGAACTAATGGTGTCATTCTGACGTATAAAAAATTAGAGGAAGAGAGAAACACCAACATAACAATTTACAGTGAAAATTTCTCCAACCCACAAATATAATAGGTACACAACAGTTATTTCCAATGCTGCTAAGTGATTATTGTAATTAATCATAGCCCTTGTACCATACAAATTGTTGTGGCCAATGAACAATACATAGACTACACTGAATGCTAAAAATTTAAATCATTTACAAGTCACTGGTAATAAATTATATCAAAAAATAAAAAATTAAAATGATGTTTCCCAAGGGTACAAGGATTATACAATCAGTAATACTGGCCTGAAATCAACTTTTCCTTATTTGGAACAAAGAATGTAGAGGGAAAAAAGTAAAACTGAATATAATTATAAAAAGCAACCTGGTGCATTCTCTCCAAAAAGCTGAACAACCAAATTCAATCTTCTGGAAAGTTGCTGGAATGCTAATTTTCAAACATAAAATGTTAAAAGGTACCTACACATTCATGTTTGTGCAGGAAGAATAGATATGCACTTCTAGAACAAGTGTGGCTGGTGAAGTTGCCGCGAACTCCATGTGCTATATACAGACGAAGAAGGGAAGATAATTGTTGGCAGCCTCTTGCTTTCTTCAACATGAGGGAAATCAGTAGTGTAATGAAGGCCACGGCTTTCATGTCGAGCAAGGGCGCTGCTCACCACCAGCTTAGCACAACAAAAGAGGTTCCTCATTTCGCAAGCCTCGAGCGCTACCATCCTTGGCTCCCACCCTTGCTGGAATAAATATGCTTCCCATTCCAACTCCAACTCCCCAATCCTCTGCTCTGCAGTTTTTAGCCTCGTTGTTGACCGAACAATTCCGACATACTTCCACATGATTGATTGCAATTCTTTCCTCACTTCCCTTGTCCTCTTCGTGATTTTCCCCAATACACTGCTCCCAAGTGACATGGGCACAACTGGTCGATCCCACCGATCAGAAGCACTTGAGTCAATACTACAGCTATTCTTGTGATCTATTGAAGGTTGTACAGCTCTTCTTGCAAATACTAGTGCTTCAAGCAATGAGTTGCTAGCAAGCCGGTTTGCCCCATGCAAACCAGTACATGCAACCTCACCTGCCACATATAGACCACGTACATTTGTCTCCCCTTGGAGCCCAGCACGAACACCTCCACACATGTAATGAGCAGCAGGAACCACCGGAATTGGTTGGCGGGTTATATCTAGGCCATACAGGAGGCACTCAGCAGCTATGTTGGGGAAGTGAGAGAGAATTTTTTCTCTGGGTTTGTGACTTATATCAAGTAGCACATACTTCTCATTGCGCTTTTTGAGTTGATCATCAATACTTCTCGCTACCACATCCCTAGGAGCAAGCTCTTCCCTATCATCATACATGGGCATGAACCTTTCCATGCTTAAATTGTAGAGGATGCCTCCATCACCCCTGACAGCTTCAGTGATAAGAAATGCATTTTCCCTGGGTTTGGTTGGAGCGATTGGAAGACCTTCATCAGCTAAAGCAGTTGGGTGGAACTGCACAAACCTAATAATAAATGCCACAAAATTAGTGTTCCTCAAAGAAACATAAACATCTTAGAAACCTAGGTAAGTCATTACATGGGGCTAACTGCTATTCTAGAAATATGTCATGACAACAGGTGCATCATCCATCCATTTGCAATTTATTACCTAGCAATGCTCAATAGTTTATTGTTGAAGGAAATAAATATTAAAGTTACACCCACTCTAATAGCTTAAACTTTTAGAGTAGATGGTAGTTAAGATGGTATCAGAGCCAAAGGTCTCGAGTTCAAAACCTCGCCGTCACCCTAATTTTTATTTATTTTTAAATAAATGTTAAATAAATAAATAAATAAAAAGTGAAAAACACGTGTTGGACCAAATAGAAGGCCACACGTGAGGGGGCGTGTTGAAGGATATAAATATTAAAGTTACACCCTCTCTAATAGCTTAAGCTTTTAGAGTAGATGGTAGTTAACATTTATGAAAATGAAATCATCAAGCTTTACTTAACATTTGAAAGGAACAACTCCATATTACTACAATTACACCATTCCAAAAGATGAACTAGTGATTTTTAATGCAACAGAAACAGGCAATCTGATTTCAGTTCATCTCTAAGAACCATCAGAATGTTCAAAAAGTTATAGAAGCCTATGTAGCATGAACTAGTTGTTTTTCAGTAGAACAAGTATGACACAGTGATGATAGAAGAGAATTTTCTAACAATGCATGGATGATTACTTACTCCATATTGGAAATCACAGCTTGAGCTCGATGGGCCATAGCCATTCCATCTCCAGTGGCTACCTATAAGAACATATGAAGAATGAATAAAGGGTGCAGGTTTAATCTTTTCATAGCATGCCCAAGGAAGGAAAACTCAACTCTATATTTCCCCAGTCAATTGGTATATATATGCTTTCCAAGTTGAGTTGGTTTAACCAATTAAAAGTAGGTGATAAGATAGTTTAGAATTTAAGAATTGCAATTTGAAGCAATACTCACCAAAAAAAAAGGAAGGGTACAAAGTAACAAACGCAGAAAAAGAAACAGAAACGAAGCAGATTTTAATTTATCCTCATACTTTAGAATTAATAAAGCTCATAATGAAGCTTGACCATATCAATTCCCAGTCTTGTAGAAGTTTTCCCTTGACAGGATATATATAGGATCAGTGTAACAAGATGAAATAAATCTTAAAGTTGTTCTTTATTATTACAATTATAAATTATGAATTGATATTTGCTTTCTAGTGACTCCAACCTGAAAATTGACCTGTCCCTTCATATTCTAAGGCAAAAAATCTGGGATTTTTCCTCCCCATGGAGCTTCCAAACAACCTCCAAGTCTTCCCATTTTTAGTTATCAACATTGTCTTTAACATGTGCAACTTATAAAATGCATGTAGGTGGATGTCATTAGGACTGTTAAAAAGGCCAAACACCATACTTCAAAGCTACTAATTGTCACAGGTGATTTCATGCCCCAATTAAATTCAATGGCAAACTGTATCTCTTAGAAATAGGAGATAGCACATGTTAGAAAAAAGTTTTTTTTTCAAAACAAATATATATATATATATATATAAAAGGATCAAAATCAAAACCAGAAAATACCAGAGGATTTGTAGTAGTTGGATAAATATGTCCAACCCCGCCTGATGCAAGCAAAGTCGCCTTTGAAATAAACCGAACAACCTAAAAGTCAATCACGAAAAAATAAGTAAAGATAAAGTCTGCTAGGCAAATGATCAAAAAATTTACTTTGAAAGAAAAAACAAGAAAGATAAATGTATATGAACTAGAACCACTATTGTTACCTCTTGTGTTTCAGCATTCAAAGTGTCAACACCATGACAAACTGCACCCGAACCATCCTGCAAACCAGCTATACATACTCGTGTTAGTGAATTGCAATAGATTGCTTGCACGTCCCATAGGTTCAACATAACAGTGTCAAGTCTGCACTAATAAAATATACAAACTATCTTCACAACATTAACTGTGTCCCTTGCGTGCTAATGCAGTATATGTTAAAGTCAATATTATTATATGTTCATTCCCCTAAACCCAACCCAAACATGAGCATTTACAATAAAGAAAATAAATTACTGCCATTTTTTGTACAAACAAGAATGGAGCATGTTAGAAAAAGAACCTGAGAAGTCAGCAAATCTATTGCAAAATGGTGTTCAAACATGAAAATATTAGGATCATTGATAACTGCCTCCAATAGTGCCCTCTCAATTTCCCTTCCTGTCATATCAGCAGCATGGACAATTCGGTGATGCGAGTGGCCTCCTTCTCTTGCCAGATGCAAGTTTCCATCCTCCCCGTGATCAAATGATGCACCCATAGCAATCAATTCTCTGATTCTGTCAGGTCCTTCTGTACAGACCACCTGGACAATATAACCAGAACTTCAATTAAAGCTCGATACTCAAGAATGAGCAAAGGTTGCATTCTCTACTTTAGCTAGAACTCAGAGTTAATTAGTTTCGACATGCCAATTGTCATCGGAGTATATGCATGCTTTAAGAACCATACTCACAAGATATCCAACAAAATGTTTAAGTTTTTGCAAAAAATTAGATAATTAAAATTATTCTCTCCCAAAATTCTTCCCAAAAATCTGGAAAAAAACAAACAAATTGATCAAACAACATAAGACATGCAGTCTTACGTTGCTAATTGGTCTGCCGATTTAGTAATCAAACTTCTCGACAACATGATGATATAATATATGAGCACTTCGGAACTGGGAGGCTGGAAAATGCTACATGAAAGCCACTTTGGCCACTCTTCAGCCAATAAAAAATAATTTGAAAAACCATGAACGATCACACAAGCAGCAGCACAATAACATATAAGCAACTGCAAGATTGATGTGTAACTGATCTAACTAGATATTCGTCCTGTCACGACATACCCGCTGTGTAGATACTATCCGCTTTGCACTCTCTTCATGCTCACGGATTTCAAAACTCATCTACACAATTAGGAGCTGTCCACACATATAAGTGTCAACAACCTCTCCCCCACAGGCGATGTGGGACGTCGCACATCCAATCAAATTCCACATACAAGAACTATCTTCAATGATTCATGTGGTAAATAAATAATCATAAAGAAAGTCTTGTACGGCAAAACAAAACCACAACAGATGATATATTGTTTTCTAATCAGTTTAAGTTCTTTTAACAACAAACATCCAAAGTCCAAGTGTTAATTTTCATTCTTTGCTTTAAAAGGTAGATGGGTGGGACGAGGCACCAAAAAACTAGTTACCAGATGCAATTGAATATAGAATTATCTTCCACTAAGGCAGTCCTTTTCAATCGAATTTTATCATGTAAAAAGAGATCATTTTCAGCCTTACGCACAATTATAGAGACAAAATTCCATCAAGACACTCCTCACTGGTGGAAGCAACTGGTGGGTCTGCAAAGAATATATTGCTATCTGATACTTGGTATCTGAATCCTCAAACACCATTTCCTGACGTTTCTAATTAACAATTTGGGTGCAATCATACTGCAATCTTCGCTCTCCAAAGATTGGATCTAAGGTGTTCTGGCAGGCAAATTGAAAGGTTAAATGTTAACCAACGGGTCAGTGGCCTAGCAGTATCAGCCTCTTACTTTCCAAGGGGAGGTCAGGGGTTCAAGTCTCAGAAGAGACAAGTGTGTGTGAGTACCAACTAGGAAAAAAAAAAACAAGGTTAAATATTACTAAATAATTTTAAATTAGAGATGATAACCCAACATTTTAACTTTTAGCAATTAGAGCATATTCATTTAATTAGAAGTCTAGGAGAGATGTCTTTTATAATTAATCTGCAGATTGACAGAAAGATCAAAACATGTAACCATTTACTTTGTTGCCAGAAAAACATGTAACCATGTACTCAGTACTCTGCGCTTAAGCCTTGAGTTTGCACTCTCAACAAGCATGTCAAGCAATTTGCAACTGGGTGTGCTGGTGTATACATTAGTGTTCTACACTGAAATTTCTAATATGTTTACTATGCTTATGTGAAACAATTTGGGTTTCTTTTTTCTTTTCCTTTTTTTTTTCTCTTTTTTTTTTTTTTCTCTTTTGTTTTTGTTCTGTTGTTGTTGTTGTTGGGTTTGGAGAGGGAGCACTAACAGTGAAGGCATGAGAATTATTGTAACCCTATCATTGCATATTTACATTGGTGTGTAACATAAATAATTTAGTTTTTCAAATGACTATTCACTGTTATATGTGCATCACGTCAGTTCAAGGTTGAACAACAGTGTCAGATTCTCAAGATTTGCAAATAACTGTAGAGAAACCATGTTAAAAATGCAATAAATTTCATTAAAATATATATATTAGAATAAAAAAGAAAAAAAAAAAACTACAGTAAAATTATTAGTCTTGAAGCTTACTCTGACGGTCTCCTCATCGCATAGATAAGCACCTGCTACAATTGTGTCCCGCATGTGATTCTCCACCGAATCCAAAGGGCACAACACAGCACTAACACCACCCTGAGCATAGTTTGTATTGCTCTCATGAGGCTCGGCCTTGGTGATCACTGCAACAGTTCCATGCTTTGCAACTTCAAGAGCATATCGAAGACCAGCAACCCCACTACCAATAATGGCAAAATCAAAATACTTTGTGGAACCATCTCTCAGGCATGATGCAATGACTGTCCTGAGGGGCCTCCAATTCTGATTAACTGGAGAATTGGAAAAGTTATATCGTTGGATCTGCAAGAACTTGGACACTCCACGTGACCTGGTAAATGCACAAAATAGCATACCTTTGAATAAGGTTTACTCAAACAGAAATTTGGATCACTGCTGTTATGACATAAAATATGATCGATAGTAAAAACAAAAATAAACTAAATAAATAGCGCATAAAATACAGTTAACAGAAATGATTGTCAATGCTACTATGACATACGCATGTTATAAATTGCATTGTTGATACGTTACGTAAAAGAAGACTGCATTGTTGATATGTTATGAAAAAGAAGACTCTGCATAATATGTGAAATATGAGGCATTTCTGGCCAGCTTGTTAATGAGAGAAACAAATATTTCAGAATCCATTTCAAACAAAGTGTCATTCTTCTTTCGGTAAAAGGTAATCAATAATTATAAGTTTTCCTGGGACCATTTCTATAGTGTAATTTTCTCTATACCAAATTGTAAGCACAAAAGCAATCAGCATCAAGTCGAAGCCACTATTTTGGCCACAAGGACATATACGATGATGTTATTACAAAAAATTGAAACAAACTCAGGAATTCTGTATCATTACATAAACAAAATAGTAAGACCTCAACCCTCAGCACATACCATGATAGGTCCTTCTGTATGCATCTCTGGAACGCTATACCAGAAACCCGAGAAGTTTGCCTGCAACCTTGTCCCCTGCAAACCCTCTCCCCAAATTGCAGCTTGCTGCTTCCAGCAGCTATACTAGTTGTCATTGCAATCCTTCTGCTAGACAAAGAAGTTAATGAATAAATACTAGATCAGGTCCTCCAATAAAGAAATTTCCCCTTTATCTCTTTCTACCAGTTCTTATAATTAAACACAGAGCATATCATAAACAACATCTATACCACAAATTCAAAGCTTCAAGCTCTCATGGGCCAAAAGATATGTCATTCCCAATTCATATGAACTACCTGTAACCTACATATACCTCAAAGCTTCCTAATTGAAATAAAAAATTCAAATTCCAACTCTTCTTGTTTGTCTACCTTTTTCCTTGGCAAACAATTGGATCTCCAGCTCAAAAACGAAAATTCGATATATTATAGAACAAAAAGAAAGTCTAGAAAAGACACTGAAATTGCTATAATTAACGTAGTAAAAGGAAATAAAGGATAAAAAACAAAAGGGATTAAAAGCAATTTTCAGAAAAGATATAAATTCTAGGCACCAAACAAATAACTACCCATCTTAGAAACAGAGGGTTTGAACCAAATTAAAAATATTCATTGGAAGTCACGAAACAAGTAACTAGAAAATTTTGAACAAAAAGTCTTCTGCAAGAGAACCAAGAAGTTTAAAATCATAAGCAAATTCAAGATTCAAAAAAAGACTCACTGAGACATTAAATCAAACGACTCGTATCTATACTGGAAAATATGTAAGACACGCATATACAGCACATGTTGTACATACAATGATCTCTTCTGGTTTCGGATGCAATCCCTTGAGAAGCGTTGATTTGAAAATGGTTATCGTTACTCTTGGGATGATCTGAAGCACGAACCTAGCAGAACATAGAAATTGTCTAATTATAGGAGGATACAAAACCTGACTTTTGCTCGAGAAGCATCCTTGAAGTTCGCGCCATCCCCTCCTTAATTGTAATGGCCAATGAGCGCCTCTCGTTTTCTTAATTTTTCTCTCTCCTCCTCGCCGCCGCCTTTTTACTATTTACAGCTTCATTACCTTCCTTAGCACTCTCATTTACGGTTTTCATGCCATATACGTTAAAGGTTTGAATCGTATGATAGTAATTAATGAAATTTTCTTTTTTTTTTTTTTTTTTTTTTTAAGAGCAAATGTATCTGTCCCATAATACATGCACCAATAAATTTATATATCTTTACATATATATGTGAAAAAATTCATATAATGCCCCCTTAAAATTTTTATTTTCTAAAATTATCTCTTCAATTTTGTATTTTTACTCTTTAAATTCTTTTAATTTCCTTTAAAAAAATTCAAATTTTCCTTTTTCAATCAAACTCTAATATTTTTTTATTTCAAAATTTTTTTCCTTTTTAATTTTTTTGTTGATTATTTATTTTTCTTAAATTACTCATTAATTGACATATTATTTTGAGTAATTTTTTTTCGTCTCTTCTTGATTTGAAAAATCTATATTTATTGTCATATTTATTAAATTTTTTCTTTTTTACACTGTGTCTCCTAAATTTAATTTCTGTTCTGAAATAATTACATAATTAATGATTATTATACACACATACAAGGTGTGACATGTAACAATTCATTAAACGTACACAAATTTGAAGGGATTACAGCCTTTATCTTTCCACATACTTTCTAAATTCCTTTAATGTCCAAATATTTTGCACATTTATTGTGGCAATCGGTACACTTACATTTAAATTTGTTAGAAAAGTGAAGAGTTAGATTACCGTTCTAACATGTGGCCCTTCTCTTATTCACATGGCCCTTCTCTTTTTCACATGGCCGGTTGTACGTTTTTTAATCCCCTTAACACTCAATTTGGAATTTTACCCATATTTTCTTTGTGATAGAAATTAGTTAATACCAACACCCCAACTTGATAATAAGTAGTGTGAATGAATATAAATAATAAAAATATTAAATGATTCAATTCTTGAATTAATTTTGATTATTCGATGTGAGTGAATATTTTTATTAAGATAAATGTTAATCGGTCAATTTGCGAAACTCTAAATCACAACTCCTGTGAATTAGTCTGAAACAACTAAAGTGACCACCATTAAGTATAAAAAAGCTATGCTACCGTTAATTTGGGGATTTTGTGTTATTCATTCGTAGGACTAGCACCACCACCTCACAAACTTTTTAACTTTGGTCTTTTAAAAAGCGTGATGGGGGTGGTTGAACATGATAAATCATAGTCATAGTCATAGTCAAAAGGTCAAAAGATGGGACACCAAAGATTCCTGGTCCACTTGACACTCATCATCAAAAAGGGTTCCAAGTGTTTTCTTCAAATAAAGCTGACCACCCAATTTGTTTGGTAAAGCAATTGATGTAATTAGTAAAAAAATTAACACTTTTAATTGGTTTCTCATTTGATTAGTTATTGTTATAATTATTAATGTAATTGAACAAAATAGCACTAAGACTTTTGATAAAACGACATTTCGAAACACAAGTGGCAAAATGACAACAAACCACTCAACTCAAGTTTTCTTTTCCTACTCAACTTCGTAACACCACAACTTTGACAACAAATGAACTTTTTTCTTTGAAGAAATAAATGACTTATATTGTTGACTCAACCAGTCTTAGGAGAAAAATAAAATATATATTGATAATCAGATTCTATCCATTTGGCATTACTATAATTTTTAAGAATAATTTCACTCACACCTTCTAATTTGATCAATTTTTATCCTTAGACAATCAATGAACCGCACGTGGCTTGTTGGAGTATCGTGTGTTTGTGGGCAACGAGGAGAGAACAAATTGAACAAACCATTTCCGTTATGGGGGGCCATAAAGAATTTCAGCCTTATTTTTTAATGGCACTTTTGCAACCATTTGAATTGGATTAGTGAATTACCCAACTGTCGGCCCACAATCGTGACTTGTTCTAATTGAGGGCCCACTTGACGACTTTTGTGAGATGCGCCCATTTGCAGTTTCCAGTCACCACCACCCCATTGGCAGTTAGGCACACACCAATTGCACTTGATCCATGGATTAGAATAGAAAACCATGATAGCGTCATATATTAATTTAGATTTTTCTTATCTTTTTTTTTATTATATACCGACACATAATTAAAATTTTGACTAAACTATAATTTATTTCCTTTTTGATAGCTTTTTTTATCAACAAATTCAAGTAATTTATTAAAAAAATGGTTTTATATCATAAGCTAAAAATATGCACATACCCACATTCCTCTAATTAAGTGCCTGTTTGGTCTTGTGACTAATATTTAAGTGCTTCTCATACTAAAATATTTTGATATCTTATTATTATTTTTAATTTTTTTGTAAATTATTTTTAAAATATTCAAGGGCATCAATATTACTACGCTGCTATTGGGCCAAGCGGTATGGAAATTGTATGCCTAGGTGGTGGGTCAGCCCACGTTTGCTAGTTACATGGATAGCCACGGCTTGACAATCAGCCCAATATGGACTCAATACATTCTTAAAAGGACAAAATTTGTCTACTCACTCACTGGTGAGTATGAAATTCATGTTTACCTCTCTCCTGGCACAAAAATAGTGTGAGAAGTGTCCCTACGATAAAAAAAAATAATAATAATAATAATTGAATGCTTATTGAGTCAACTCAAAAGGATGAAAATCAAATCATAATTTACTCTCTCTCAAACTACTCCGCCAAACCCTAATATACTAATACTGGACTAATACTGGAAGTTTTGAGTTATATCTTTCATGATTTAATGTGTAATCCTTATGTATACTTATCAATTATTTTTTTATCTAAAGTACACCCAATTACATAAAATCTGGTTCACATGATTTAATGTGTAATCCTTATATATACTTATCAATTGTTTTTTATCTAAAGATTTAATATGTAATCCTTATATATACTTATCAATTGTTTTTTTTATCTAAAATACACCCAATTACATAAAATTTGGTTCACATGATTTGTTTATTGCAGGATAGATTTTGGTGGAAAACAAATATCCATGTATCATTAAATTTATAGTTATTTTTTTTATTAATCATCCTGAGCTTGTTTGTATCTTGTAATATTATTTTATTTAAAAATTTTAACTTAAAATATTTTTTTTTGTCAACAAGATTAAAAAGAGAAATCCAAAGTAGAGAGAGAGAGAGAGGATAGGGAGTTAGATTTGAATCATATTAAATTTAATTCCGATAACCTTTCAAATATTTTAATTTTTATTATTTTATATTCTAGGACAAGTGTTCTTATAATTTTGCGTTACATCAGGATAAATATGAACTTCCTACTCACCAGGTAAGTACTGTCCTTCTTAAAACTCGGCGTTTACAAATAGAAACCAGGCAAAAGAGCCAAAAAAAAACCCTGAGCTATAGGGTTGTTGCAAAATGGCCCCTATACTATATTTGAGAGCAACTCAACCCCTTAACTATGCAAAAATTGCATATTGCCCCCTTAGAACTCACGGAAGTATACTTTCCGGCCGTATGAAGGACACAATTACTAAACTACCCCACTTTTTAATTTATTATTAAAATAAATAAATATCAGATGTGTAAAATATCTATAATACCCTCCATGAATTAAGTTATCACTTTACCCAAACCAAGTCTTTGAGGCTTGCGGTTAAAAAAAAAAAGGGGGGGGGGGGGGGGGGGGGGGGGGGGGGGGGTCACTTTGATTGTGCATATCATCTTTGATTTCTTCTATTATTGGTCTCTGTTCGATTATGGGTGTTTCATATTCGTTTTTTAAGGTCCCATCTTGAATCACGATTGTAGATTCAGTTCAAGCGCATTGAAAACCTTTGCTCCAGATCGTAAGTATATGTTGTATAACAATCTTGCATTCCTTTTACTTGAATGTTTCTCAATGTTATTTTGTTTCTTTGCTGGTCATGTGAGATTTGTTTTGATTGGATTTAAGAATAGAATCTTTCAAAGCGTTATATGCAACTTTTTTTTAACTTTTTGCAAAAGATTTCCGTAGTTTTCTGTCTTGTTGTGAAAACTTTTTTGTTTTTTTTGGTTGATTACATTTTTCAATTTTATTTATTTATTTATTATTATTTTTCTGTCTTTGTCTTGTTGCTTATTAATTTCTGAATCTTGCCTACTTTATCAATTTTTTTTTTTTTTTTTGTGTTGAATTATGGTGGGAGCTCAAACTCAGACAATAGTTTACACCTAAACTGTCTAATGTGATCTTAGCATTATGTTGTCTCTTTGTCCTGCTTACTCGTTTTTACTTATTGTCTTGATTTTTTTTTGTCAGTATCCATAATCTTCTTGTTGTTGTGGTTGTTGTTTCTAAAATATTATCTTAAATTTTGTTCCTTTGCAAGTGTTTTTTTTTTTTTCCGTAACATATCGGTGCCAGTTTTGAGCAATTTTGCAGAAGTGCTACAAAAAATGGTTGTCTTACTTGGTATCTTCAACAATTAAATAAATGAAATTTTCCAATTAATAAATGGTTGCAAGATAAATAATTCATAATAATTGGGCTGATGTTCAATTTATTATTAGCCTATTGCATTTTGTCATACTTTTTATTAATATTATTTCTCATAATTATTCACCTGTTTCTCGTCATTTTCTTATTTAGTTACTTAATTTTAGTTGGAATTTTGGTTTGATCTTTACTTTTTCCTTTACATAGCCAACATCAATGCCAGATTCATTTTTCACGATCCAATTTTCCAATGCACATAGATCACTGTCTTCACCTAAACAATGAAAATGGGTGGTTGTTGCTGTCGTTTGGCGGAAAAGAAATAAGAGTTTGTTGAGATGAGGGTCGGTCAAGGAAAAGGAGTAGCTTCAGTCTTTGTGTTGAAGATTTGGTTCAATAGACTTGGAAAGAAGTTTAGTTCAAATTTTGACCAAAAAAAAAAAAAAAAACCATTTACACCTAACATCCAAATACAACCTTCTTGTACATCGCTCTTCCCCCTTAACACACACAATTGAAGAAAATTCTAAATCATTGCCATGGAGTTGGAGATCTGTCCCAAATCATTGATGACTTTGTGGATGAGGGGTTGGAAGTTGGAACACACTGAAGTACTTGACATGTAATAAGTCAATTCTAATTGGGAAGATGAAATCCTAGCATGGACTGAAACTGAAGATGCCAATGATGATATTGATGAAAATGTCATTGATGGTGGCTGTGCCGAGATGGGTGAAAATGTCAATGCTAACTTGGAGCACGGCGTTAGTCAGGTGGGGTGAAGATGTTAATGCTGCCTTGGAGCATGGCTTTGGTCAGGTGGGTGAAGATGTTAATACTGATGTGGAGCATGATCTACATGACAGAGATTACAATTTTTCGGATATTCATTCAACATATTGTATTAAGTTTATATTAAAGTACTCTGAAAAAGAAAAAGAGTGGAAAATTGGAAATTTGGGAAAAACGTTAATTTGCAACCACCATTACATGCATAATTAGAGAGATGGAGATTTAACATTGCAACCACAATTATGTTCCACTAAATAACTATACAATTATTAAATCCAAAAATAAAGTCAGGCGTAGAAGGAGAAACATTAACTTTGAGGTGAAGGAGAAAGATCAACGTTGAAGTGAAATTCACAACAAATGGGTCTTATAAGCAATGGAGGGTACAATGATCATGTGCTAGGGCATTTTTGCCTTTAAAAGCAAAAATTAAGTCAGACAGCTGAAAAATACGTTACAAGGAGTTATAAGGGGGCAATATACAACATTTACATAGTTGAGGGACGGAGTTGCTCCAAAAAAATAATATATGGGGGCATTTTGCAATTCAGGGTGTTTTTTACTCTTTTGCATAGGAATCAAGAAAAGTCAGCCCTCCAAATAAAAACTCGTACGGCTATTTCCTTGTTTCCTTTTTTTTTTTTTTGGTTTCCCTATTATTTTCTTTTTTATATGTAATTTATTAATATTTCTGAAAAAATATGTATGATTCTTATTTATTTGCCTTTTGATTTTTTTTTTTTTTACTTTTAAATTTATCAACAAATATATGAGAAATAAAAAAATTAAAAATACAGTAATATTTTATTCAGCATAATTAAATAGATATGTTCCCTAAAAAAAAAGATAAAAAGATTACGAGTTGTTGGAAAAATAGGAGGAAGAAAAACACAAACAAACAATTAAATAAATATACAAAAAATATATACTAATAAAAAACAAGTCCAGTCAACACTATACCGTACAGATAGGTTAGCCACATAAGGTAACTAGTCAAGTTAGCCCAATTCTTGGCGTGAATAGTTACCTTTATGGATATAGCTAGCCAGGATAGCTATTGATATGCATGCAGCCCTTGGGACATCTTCAATCGACTTTCTGAATTGAGGCTATTTGAATTTGTCATATCAGTATTTTTTTATATCCACGTCAGTATTTTTTATAGTCATATCAGCTTTTTAGAATCTCCAAATTTTAGCTATCGAATATACTCTAATGATGCATTTTTGCTCTCCAAAAATATTAATATTTTTTAAATTTTTAATAAATTTTATTTTTTAATTTTTTCCTAACGGCTATATTTTTAAAACAGTTATATTATAAAAAACAAATTTAACAATAGAATATTTATTATTAAAAACAATACGATACGACATAAATTTAAACAATACAATAAAAATAAAAAACAATACAATACGACTTGAATTAAAAACATAAAACAATTAGAAAAAACAAAATAATTATATGGAATGCTTGAAATAATCTTATGGAAAGCTTAAGTTGCCGCGTGCGCGTATAGATGCTAATTTTCATTTTAGCGTTCAATTAACCATGTTTTCCCGACTTGTGTTGGCATCGATTCTAGATCTTTTTGCATGATTAACATCTCTTCAGCTCTTTGTTTGTTTTCAATCTCTCTTAACTTGCTTTGAAGCTCGAGTTGTCTGGTTTTTTCTTTATTTGCTCTGCGTGTCTCTCGTGATATTTGAGCAGCCTCAAAAGTTTCAGATTGTCTTTGATAAAGGGCTGTTGCATGATCGAATTTGCTAATGAAATCATTTTGACTTTCAGATTATCTGTTATCCTTATTTCGCCTCTGCTTCGCTGCTTTTCGTCCTTCTGGTCGTTGACATTCTTCAACATCCGTCGAATCATTTTCGCCTATGTGTGTCGAACCTTCAACCGAATTTGGTGTCGTTGCTGCATTACTTGATGGAGCAGATGAGTTTGAGTGACCAATAGGCTCACCGTCATCAATGTGGATTCCACTCCTCTTCTTCTGCTATTTTTTTTATTTTATTTTTTTATGTCAATTCTTTTTGACAATGTAAATGCCACTTATTGTTGCTCTTCAAAATGTTCCAACAATTGTCAAACTTAAATTTGGTGCTATTTTGACGAGCAAATAACTATTTCGCTGCTATCATCTAAAAAAATAAAAATCAATAATTATTAGAAGACAAATCTTTAAAATATCTACCAATTAAATTTAATATAATAAATAACTTACCTTGTACTCATTGTCTTGCCCACTGAGATAATTCCTTTCGATCTGGGTCATGCATCCAGAAAATTTGGTAATCATTTGTTGCATGATGGACCAACGATTCAAGTAGGGGATATGATTTCTTTTAGGTGTACCAGCACCATTAACGTGTCGCTCAAAACTTTCTTGAATTCGGATCCATAACGCTACCTTTTGTTGATCTGAACCGATGACCGCATCAGTGCTAATGGCCATCCACGCATAACATAAAGCCTCATCTTCAATCGTGAACCAATTAGGAGACCGAATAGCCTTTTGCTTTCTGGGAGGTTGGGAGTTACTGGATTATGGCACTTCAGCAGGAATGTTGGAAACTTGAGAAGGTTGATGAGACGAAAATTAAGATTCATCTCCAACAAAATTGAGATTCTTCTCCAACAAATAAGAAGGGATCAAAATTATTATTTGATTGGTTAAATTGAGAATTGTAGTTGTAATATGGTGGTGGAGGATCCATGAAATTAAACTTGAGTAAAAAATATAACTAAAAGATTGAGAATATGACTTAGCGATTGTAGTTGTAGGTTGAAAATTAGAGAAGATAGGTTGGATATGAAGTGAATAATAGTAGAAGTTGATGTATTTATAGAGAAAAAATGAAATGGTTTTTTTTTTTTTTTTTTAAATAAAATTATATATATATATATATATATATAATGAATTTAAAAAAAAAAATCAAAAAATAGGTTTTTGTGCCAATATAGCCGTTAAGGCACTGTTTGGGTCAGCCAAACAGTACTTAAAACAGTTATATGTCAGTAGGAATATTTTAAAAAGCAATTTTTTAAAAAAAAACACTTTTATCTATTTTTTTAAAACTTTTTTTTGCCCAAAAAAGCCTTTAAGGCACTGTTTGGGTCAGCCAAACAGTGCCTTAATGACTTTTTGGTTCAATTATTTTGAGAAAAAAAAAGAGACCAAAATCAACCAAAAAATTGATTTTTTTCCTTTTTTTTTTTTTTTTTTCAAGCAAACATGCCTTTAACTACAGTGTTTTGGGCTAAAAGAAAGTTTTGGGCCAGAATAAAAAAATTAAAAGAAAATAGATGGGCTTGTATGGCAGGCCAGCGAATCGCCAACAGGGTTGTGGTATTCCGCGACCCATTCCGCTATCCAACAAGTGGGGCCCAATTTTTGGCTACCCCATTGGAGCAGCCCAGTCTTTAAATTTGGCCCAAAATCGCCGGAATCTACCCATTGGACCTGCTCTTTAGGATCTTTTTTATAGAACTTATTTGTTTAAAATGAACTCGTAATTTTTCTATTTTGTTATTTTATCAATTTTTTTTTTTTTTTTGAAGAAAAAGTGAGTGCGAAGGTGTAATTACTATAATTACGTAGTGCATTTTTAAAGATAAATTTTAAAGCTGCTTATTTGTCAAGCTATTATTGAGCCTCACTTTTTTACTTTAAAAGTCAATTTTCTTTTTGCAGCTTGAAGTAGTCGCGGAGTCGGAGAGATGCGCGGGCGAGGGTTCCAAACTTTCAGTTGCCAAAGTAACTTCCTTCCTACTATTATTCTTCCTCTCTCTCTCTCTCTCTCTCTCACACACACACACACACACACACACACACACTTTCTCTGTCTTTATTTTTGATTAATTTTGCATTGCAGATCGATTCCTTCAAAGGTGTTGCAGAAATTGTAGAGAGAGAGTGAGAAAATGGGGAACTTGTTATCGTGGACCAAAGAACCGCCACCGCCAATGGTGTTGGTCCCACCGCTCTTCGATTTCCCTCCTCTTGCTGCCCGTACCAGGTTTTCCCTAATCCTTCTCATCAATTCCATGTATATAAATATGTATTTGAGCAATATAATATCAGATTGTCATATCTATTTCGAGAATTGCCTACTTTATTGCTAGGTCAACACATTGTTGGGGTTGTAGATTTTTTTCCTCCCAAAGAAACTTATACTGTTAATTTATTGTGTAGGTCGAGTATTTCTAATGCGCTGCTGCAAAATTTTGATTCGTATTAACATTTATGGTTCATTTTAATTTTTAGTTTTAATAATCAGACAATTTACTTAGCCATCTGATTTTGAAGCAAACCTGAGTGTGAATAGTTCAATTTTGGCGTCAAGTAGCATCTGTTGATGCTTTGTGGTGTGATTCACAAAGTTTTGGTCCTGGGTGATTGGTCTGAACTTAAATGTATTTTCTTTCCTTCTTTCTTTCTTTCTTTTTCTTTTTTGTTGAACTAATTTTGTTGTTTTGATATGTGGACTAAATTCCCTTTATTCAGTTAGTGTCTCGTTCATCACATTTAATAGGCAATCTGTGGTCAAATTGGATTAGTTGTTTCCATTGCTACATGGTCTTATAATAATGAATTTTATTTATATGTTTGATCATTGGTTTTTTTATGTACATCACTTAGTTTCTAGCATTATTGAGATTTGAGATAAATTAATTCTAACTGTTGTACGTGTGAGGTGGTGCAGGATGTTGGAGTCATCATATAACTTGTTATTTGGGAAACTTGCTTTGAGATGCCTTTTTGAGGATTACTTTGAAGAAGCTAGGCATTTTAACACAAGAGTCATGCTAAAGCCAATTGATGATCCTCATGTAGATTTGATTGCAACTGTATCCTATAGCTTCTAGTTGTTTCATTGCAACTGTTTAGTCATTTAATAATTAAAATTTTAGATTTTGGTTCAGAAATTATTGGATATAAGCAGCAAGGAGAAATATATTGTTCCCCTTAGCTTGTTTAGGTTTCAGGTCCACTCGATCACAAGCCAGAGGAGAAAATTGTGGGAAATGCACTATTCCGCTGGCAAAGGTACCACATTGTCAGTTTTGTTACTTTTGTGCTGCTCAGCAATGGACCTTATTGTGCTATTTAATCAAAGTCAAAGATGTTATGAAATGATTATTAAATAACATTGAGACATTTCCATTCAGTGATGTTGATGATCCTCACACATTCTTGGACCTTTTCGTATCAAACTCTGAACCGTAAGGATCACTTTGTTGATGTAGAAATATTTTTTTCTGTAAACATATTATGTACCATTCTTCTCTGAGTATTTATTTGCATGTTACACTAGGATTTTACAAATGCGATCGTGCGCTTACTACCCTAAATTTGGATTTGGAGCATTTGGAGTTTTCCCACTGCTTTTAAAGAAAAGGTATATTCCCATCAGTGAAACTATCTCATTGATTCTCAAGCAAGCTGGTATGAAATTATATCAGTAGCTTACTTTTACAAAGCTTACCTGATGATGCAGAGTATCTTCTGAAGATTTTGGTGTTATGGGTTTGAGATACGGCTCGGGGAATCTGTCGATTGGAGCCACACTTATGCCTTTCTCTTGTATGTGACTTGTATTGCGAGTTAATGAGTTTACTCTTATTTGTAATTTTGTATATCAATTGCTGTTCTTTATGCTTCAGTGCTTCTGTCCGTGATCTCTAGTTGGCTTGTAAACTTCACTTCTAATTGTTATACGCATCTCTATCATAACATCTTTGTAGGATTATTTTTCCCCTGTTTATTCGACAGGCAACTGTACACATTTTATTTAATTATTATTTAACCTACATTTTATTGTTGCTGACTGGATTATATCTGGCTGCTTTGAAACATGAGGGATGTTGATTTGTTTACTATGCTCCACAGATTTTGGGATTTAGATGGTGAAATATGAACATACAAGCTGTGCGATGAAAATAAATTTCTAATATGATTAAAATTCTATGTAGTGGGAGATGAGTTCCCAAAGAGTGCGTGGCTGGTAAGCAAGATAGGAAGGTTAACTGCTGGGGTGCAATATGAGCCACAATGTAAGTTTATCACAGCCCACATCTCAACCCTTTGTACAAAATTGGAAGTTCAATTTCTGCACTCTTTACTTGTATGCTACTTGCTTCATTTAGAGAGAATTTCCTTCTGGATGGCTTGTAATTTGCTGGTCTTGTCACATGTTTCAGCTTTTCACCTCTTGCTTTCTCTTTATTATGTATTTGACATTCTATTGGTGTAACTTGGAAATAATGCTAATTCATGTAACCATCAATGACCTAGTGTTGATTTTTCAAGAATATGATATGCATGTTTTAGCACTTTTTGACTGTTGGCACTTGATAAACAATGATTATGTTTCAAACACTCGAAGGATTTTTTTAATTTTAATTTTTGTATGGTTTTTTTAAAATAAGAAAGTTCTGTTTTATTAACTTTCACTAATGAGAGAACTAGATAAAAAGAAAGAAATAATTAAATTGATGTTTAGGAACCATTTTTTCCCCCTTTTCCCTAAGAATTATTAATTTTTAATATAGAAAACAAATATACATGTTACAATGGCATACACAGGAACACAATTACTTGTCAATAGGAGATAAACTCCACACAAAAGGATAGACTCATATCAGGAGATTAAAAAACAAATAAGAATGGAAGAAAATCGAAGAAGATCTCATAACAAATGCTAATAAAGTAGCAGCAATTGTCTTTGACATTATTACTGATGTAAGAAATGCTCTAGTTGAGGCTGATTTCAGCTGTTGCTGCTTTGCACTTCTACAGCAAGGATATGCTGCTGCTTTTCTCAAATTTCTATTTTTCATTAAAATGATTTTAAAAAATTAGCTGTCAGAGGATCAACTTATGCATTTTTTTATTTTTTTTTATTTTTTCCATATGAGTAAAACGTGTTGGTATTTTGGAGGGAAACATCTTTAACCTTTATGTCATTTATTTGAATGAGTTGCTTTACTAAATGTGTTATAAGTTTCTATCCTGTTGAACTTAAGGCATGCTTCACATACTGTTTATGGTTACCACTCGTGCCATTCTTCTGGATAAGACTAATTTTTGTGCTTTCTTTTTTGATACTGTTCAATATAGTTGGAAGCAAAGATCGATCAAGATTTAAAAATTTAGCAAATTGGAACTGTGCTATTGGCTATGGACTAGGATCAAGCAGTCCTCTGAGCCCATCCTTCAATTTTGGTCTTGAACTTGCTCAGAATTCTCAGGTTTGCTAAAATTTGAAGTTTTCTGCACTGTTGTTCTGCCATCGCTTATGCCTTTTTATTTAGTTTCATAATTTATCTGAAGAATTTCTGGAAATGGATTTTCATTGTCTTTTACATAAAGTAAGTCTAATACACATCTTCGTTAACTACTGACATTTTGTTTGTCATGGAATATCTTCTTATTTCATTTTTAGAATAAATCTGAGGAAACCTCATGGTCTAATTCTCTGTCTTCCAATTTTAAATTTATAGATAGAAACTAGAAAGTTTGAGCATCAATCAGAATTGAAGAGAAAAGGATCATTTGATCTTAAATCATAGTTTAGATGTTTGACACTTTGACCTCTATATTCTTCGGATGATATTTCTACGATTACTGATCACCCTCTACTTTCCGAATAACATTGTTTCATTCGTTCCTGGTATCTAGAATGGAAAGGTCATTCGGTGTCTTGTTATATCACTTATGAAGGATTTTAGAATCCTTGAAAACATTTTAGTGTTTCTTTATTTATATATATATATATTGCTTTTTTTTTTTTTTTTCCTTCTGTTTAGTGGCTTCTTACAGTTATACAATATACACAGACTGTATCATATCAAAGGAGTTACCACTTCTCGGCTCACACCAATATTAATCTGGTTTTGTAAGCCATATACTACCCACTCTCTAGCTTGATTGGAATGTCCTTGCCCCTATAAAAATTTGAAAAAAAAAAGAAAAGAAAAAAGATTGATTGACTATGTATTTAACTCAGGATATTTTCTTAATAAAGTATCAATTATGAACAATATATTTTTCATGGTTATTCATGAAAGCATAATAGAACATTGCATTTTGTTTTCGTGTTCTTTTCCCCTCATATCACAACATGGGCTCTGACATGAAAAGAACAACAAGGGTGCGACATTGAATGAGTTTATTTTAGATTTCTTAATGTTTGGGACATGATTGATATATAAATGGTTTCTCTTTATTGCATAAACAGATGTTGGGTAGACTAATAATATATAATATTGCATTTAGTTTATTCAGTACTTTAGATATGAAATCAAGCACTGGCTACACTTCCATGCCTATGGGAGCAAGCAACATGCAATACTTGGTTTTCCATTTTAGGTTTTTGGCTCATTTGCTCCAAACACAGCATCGATGATGTTTTGGTGAGAAGTTTAGACAGGGAGCCCCCAAAATATTGGGCCCTCTAATAATTAAAATTTAGTTAACAATATATATATATTTGATAAGTATAGTTAACAATATATTTAAATACTATTATGTTTTATTTTTATTTCCTCTTCACATGCGGGGTAAGGTTGTGAACATTTGAACCGCCGCAATGGCAGGAGCCTTGAGCACTGTGTTTTTGCCCGCCGTGAGCACTGTGCTTTTGAAGAATTATTTTTTATTATTTATTTCATATTGTAAGTTAGATTTTTATTTTTATTTTTTTGGGCTCATCATAATTGGAGAAATTTAATGCTTGATAAACCTATTAATTAATAAATTGTTGGTCCCAAACAATTATGAATTGTTAGAGAGCTTATTGAGATCACTATGACAATTTGAGGTGCAGTCTGCTCTTATAGAAAAATGATGAATTGCTTCATTACTTTACTGGGGAATCAGACAGAACAACTGATCACCAAAGAATATACAAGTGGATCCAGGGTGTGGGACTCCCACCCATATTTTCCTTATGGTGGACTCTTATACATGGTCATGTGCATATGACTAGACCTGTTCAACTATTTATTCGTTGTCCAACCAAGATACCTACAGACTGCGCTAATGTTGAGTATACCATGTTTGTTTCACTAAATATGGTTAGAGCATAAGTTACATACAACTTCCCAACATAGAGGTCAGTGTGTGCATTCCTGTTCTACTGCCTATTATATGAGTACCTCCATGATAAAAAAGAAAAAATATGAGTACCTCCAAGTTTATATATATTCTTCTCCGCATCTTTTGTGCCTAGTTTAGAATAGAAATCGTCATATGCTCTATGTTTTTTTTTGGTTTATAAGTAGTCATATGCTCTATGCTTTGCCTCACTTCTTTCTTATCTTCTTTATTTTCTTTTTTATATTTTGTCAAAGGTTTCACTATTTTTAGTTTTTTGCCAAACTTTATAGCACGCCTGTTTTGTTTTTACGACTTTTTGGACTTGCTCATTCCACAGCCAAGTTTCTTTAAATAATGGTCCCGTTCCTTGCCTCATTCTATGCATTGATGACTGCAATTTGTTTACTTTATAGTCTTGATTTATATTTCATTATGGACTTTTCTACTGAAATGTTCTTTGCAAACCCAAACTGCAGTTCATTGCCTCATTCTATCAACATGTGGTGGTCCAAAGACGGGTATGTTTCTCTCTACGGCATGCATTCATCCAAGAAAATAAAGTTGGTTAAACACCACATTCTGATGATCGTTCTGAAAAAATTGAGAAAATAGTCGAGTTTTAAAAATTAAATTTTCTTGCCGCAAGTATATTCTGACCGTGGTTAGCAAATTATGCTACTGATGATGGCTGTTTTCTGCAATTTACATAGGTGAAGAATCCGCTCGAAGAAAATGAAGTAGTTGGAATTACAAATTATATTGACTTCGGTTTTGAGTTAAAGACCAGGTATTTTATACTTGTCAAAAAAAAATAAAAAAATAAAAAGACGAGGTATTTTAAGTGATTACTTCATAACTAACCAATGCCGTTTAGAATGGGATTTGAATTCAATGTAACCTTGTGCTAAAGGGTTGATGATGACAAAACATCAAACAACATCCCAGATTCCACCTTTCAAATTGCTGCATCTTGGCAAGCAAATAAAAACGTCATGTTGAAGGTAGCCTATTTAGTGCAATCTTCAATTTGTTTTTTTTGATCATATCAAATTTATAACTATGGAAGTTATCTTAACAGGGAAAGGTGGGGCCTCTTAGCTCGTCTGTAGCTTTAGCATTTAAGTCATGGTGGAAACCTTCATTCACGTTTAGCATTTCAGGTACTTCTAGTTGGTGGTTCATGCATTGATTTTGGAATTCCATATCACAGATTTCAGAACCGTGAAAATTTACCTAATTTTTTACTTTAACTATGTATAACATGCATTTCTTTCCATGTTTTGTGTTTTTTGTTACATTGCGGTCGTTTTTATACATGATAATTTACATTTACTCAAAATGCTTCACTCCATGATACCGTGTCGAATCTTTATTTAGTTTTTAGAGTGTGTGTTTTATGTTGACCAGGCATACCAAAAACTTGGTAGATGGATTGTGAGATTTGCCTAAGTTGAATTGGTATTCTATGTGAGGCACAAATTCACAAAATTCAGAAAATGAATGACAAGTTATATCTTTTCCATTGATGGGTTTACAACTTCAAATTAACAGGAAATGCAACATTTAGTTGTTGTTAGAATTAAGTATATAATGTAACATGTGCAATTATTTCCATTGGTTTACAGCTACGAGAGATCGTGTCATTGGAAAGTCAACTTTTGGATTTGGCATCCGTGTAGACAATATTAGAGAAGCGAGGTTTGTATTACTTTTATTCCTTCTTGTTCCCTTAAAGTTAGAATCTTCGTGTCTGTTTTGAGTTATGATCATATGAACTTGAGTTCTTCTGATAATCGGTCCTAGTTTAATTTTGTTGCTTTATTAATACTACTACTCTCTCTCTCTCTCTCTCTCTCTCTCTCTCTCTCTCTCTCTCTCTCTCTCTCATGCAGTTATCAAAGGGCTGATCCAAATTTTGTAATGCTGACACCAAACAAGGAGCATCTAGCGGAGGGTATCCACTGGAAAATTGGAAAGAGACCTGTGCTGCAGTCTGATGTAAATTCTGAGAATTTTGATGGCATGCCCAGGGAATTAAGGCCCTTGGGAAAAATTTTGTAATACTCTAGTATATTATCTATTTTCTTTTGCCTTTTGTGAAGTAGGCTACTGAAGTAACTGAACACTTAGTGGACTACTACTTTTCTTCGTAAATTTGAACCACTGTTCATATCTCCTAATTTGGGGTGTCGGATTCATAAACTGCTCCACTAATCAGATCTATTTAGATTTTCAACTCATTCAATGGATTTTTTTGTTGATGGTAGAATAAATACATGCATATATATATATATGTGTGTGTTATATACGAATCCCTGATAGAGCTGTGGAGTCGATATAAATTAGTTCACTTTTTTTCCAACCAACACAAGTCACTGATCTACTATTGATTACAAAGTTGTACCATCAACTTGGGTAAATTATTAGTCTTCAGAGGATTCAACGGCATTGAAAAAAAAAAAAAAAAAGAGAGAAAGGAAAAAGCTAGTGGATTCAACACGAGTTTTTCATTTTTATACTCCCTCAGTCCCATATTAATAGTTCATTATCTCATTTTTTGCTGATCCATTTTAATTGTCACATTTCAAAAATTAATACATTACTTTTTATTACATTCCTAATTTATCTCTAAAAAATTAAACTAATTAAAATTTCAAAATAAATGGACCTACTTTTGAAACAAAAAAATAAGTGAAGCCCATTAAAAATCAATAACCTATTTTTTTTTAGGGAAAGACAAATTTAGAAATGCATCTTTTGCCAACAGTTGTTGCCTTAAAAAGTGTGAAATGTGAAATTATACTGTTATTAAGGGACAGAGGAGTATTTTCTAATAAAGATTGTCTTTTTAAAATTAATATTTTTAATTATGTACAAGTTTTGATCTATCTTTTGCACTTGCAATATCAAATGTTACTAAGCTGGATCAGGTAGGTCTGTCTCATTGGCATGTAAATTTCATCCGGAAAAAAGTGTGGAAGCTTCCAGTGTAGCCGTCGTTCATCCAGAACATGGATGAACGAGGCGGATTAAAGATCAAATGGTGGGGAGCCTGTAATATAACTGGCGTATTATTGTCACTCATGCAGTGGCGATACAAAGTATACTGACGATACAGATCACATATCTCTCTGTATGCAAGCAAACTAATTAATTAATAAACAATCTCTTGGCAGCAGCTGTCCGCGCAGGAATGGCTGCATTTTCACCCGTCTCCGCTTTCTTCCCCGCTACACCTACTGCTACTCCAATTGTTTCTCGCTCTAGAATATCAAGATTCTATCCCTCCCCTAACAAAAGCCCTAATCATCTCTCTCCTATTCTCTCTGCTCTCCGCTACCGATCACACTGTAATTTTATTACCTTCTGCTCCAATAGTCCTTCTAGATTCCACAAGCTTCTATTCACCAGAAACCACTTGGCATCATCTTTGGACACGTTGTTGGTTCTCTTCTCCTCTGTAGTTTTGTCTTTCACTCTTTTCATCGCCGATGTTGATTCGGCTTCAGCCTTTGTAGTGACTTCGCCTAGGAAATTGCAGTCCGATGAGCTCGCTACGGTTCGTCTTTTTAAAGAAAACACGCCTTCAGTTGTCTACATCACCAATCTTGCTGCCCGGTAACACTACTTGTGTTTAATTTTGAATTGTAGTGTATTTAGCCCAGTTTGGTTCTATTTAGGGTGATTCTTGTGTTTGATTATATTTTAATGCTTTACAATCACTATTTCAGAACAAGAATTGCATTCGAACTAATATGAACGGATTAGTTTGGTTCTGTTTAGGGTGATTCCTGTGTTTGATCATATTTTAATGCTTTACAATCACTATTTCAGAACAAGAATTGCATTCGAACTAATATGAACGGATTAGTTTCTAGATTAAAATCACAATGATCAGTGAGGACGACTTTCGATATTTATAGTAGGATAAAAAAGAATAAAAAAAAATCATATAACTTGTGGCGGAGATCTTTTTAATTACCTTACTAAGAATGTATTTCAATTAAGACAAATCTTGACTATGGATTCTCATCTCTTACCAATTTAGATTTTTTTAAGTAAGTGGTTTCCAATCATTGAGTTTGATTCTCTCTCTAAATTGGATACATTGTTCATCTACAAAGGTTCGCTAATAAGAATGTATTTCAATTAAGACAAATCTTGACTATGGATTCTCATCTCTTACCAATTTAGATTTTTTTAAATAAGTGGTTTCCAATCATTGAGTTTGATTCTCTCTCTAAATTGGATACATTGTCCATCTACAGAGGTTCGCTAAATTGTTCATATAAATTTCTTCATGTGGTGGTTCAATTGGATCTTTATCTCACATTAGGCCAGAAAATCAAAATATTTTCTTCATTCGGATCTTGTTACACAGTAAATTCTCTGTTTTTCTTCCTTTTTATTTATTTTTATTTTTTTAATTTTTTTTTTTCCATTTTTTTGTAACAGACAATATGCCTTCATTATTGAATTAGGCAATGTATATTTATATATTTTTTACCATTATATAATAACATGCTCTCTGATTTCCACACTGAATATATCTTTCTATTTTTTTTTTTTCTTTTGACATCTTCAATTTTTCATATCACTGCAAGTGAATCTATTCATAGCTGAGATTCTGGGACAACAAATAATGTTGATCTACTCTTTGACTTAAGAGATAAGATGTAAAACTTGAGGGAGCTAAACAGTGTCAAATAGGAACAATGTGAGAGATGAGAGAAAATTTTAAAAGAAGAAGAAGAAGAGCTAAATACGGTAAAGAATGTATAACTTTAAGAATTTTTAAGGGGCAACAATATTAGAAATTATGTATATAAAATAAAAAGAAAAAGAGAAGTGGGCCAGTGAATGAACTGGATCCCTTCATGGCTCCAATTCTGACGATGATCAATATATAATGTGAGGAGCCGTGTCGTTGAATCCATATATTTTATTTCCTTTTGTGTGGCAAAATGAAATGGTTAGGTCTGTAACTTGGGGTGGAGTCCACCCAAGCAATGCTAAATACTAAGCGTGTATCCAGTTTGCCTCTCCAAACGCTCTAAACTAATAAGACCAACGGTCAGATACGGCTTTTTATTTCATTTTGTATAAAAGTTTTCTGTTTTTTAGGTTTAAGTAAAATAGGTCATGGGATTTGATTTTGATGTGATATATGTGTTCTAGGCAGGATGCATTTACATTGGATGTGTTGGAGGTGCCTCAGGGCTCTGGATCAGGCTTTGTTTGGGATAAAGAAGGCCACATTGTCACAAATTATCATGTGATTCGTGGTGCATCTGATCTCAGGTTGGTTGGGTTTATTTAAATTTTTTTTTTTCCCCTTGGTCATGGTTTCTGTTCTGTTTAAGTGGTGCAATCAATTCTTTGTCCCTTCATAATTTTTTTTTTTTGTGAATCAGAACAATGCTGTTTTTTGTTTTATTGGCATTATCTGGTATCTCTACGTAATAACTTGGAAACTATTGTGAGTGCTAGGAAGTGGGAACATCATTAGTGATTTAGTTCAAGATGCGCTTGATTGCATGATGATCTGACCATGGGCCAAAGATAAGGTGGTTTTTGGAAGACTAATTGGCCCTTTTGGTTTTCAAATTTGAAACTTTTGTGTTCCCTCACTGTGTACCATGGTGTCTAACCACAAAGAAGACATGATGGAAAATGAGTGGAGGAAAAATACAATAGTATCAATTTTCAAGAAATAAAAGGGATATAATTAAATTAGTGAGTCATAGAATGAAACTATGAAGGGTAATAACACAAAGATTAAGTAATGAATCTACGGTATCGTATAACGAATTTGGATTTATGCAACGGAGATTAACAATGAGGTGAGACTAGATTAGTTGAAGAACGTAGGAGTTAGCAAAGAGATCTACATATGATTTTTATAGACTTAGAAAAAGCGTAAAGATATGTGAACATGAAAACTAAAGTTTGTTTAATATGTGGTGAGACTAGCGAGTTCTATATAAACTTTAGATGAAATGTGGAGAATTGCCTTAGAATGAAAAGGATTGAGAATTAGTCAAAGCTAAAATAGAGTATATGAAATGTAAATTTATTAAATATTTGGATCTTGATAATATAATGGTCACACTTCAAAACCGTGATTATTTAAAATAATTATTTTCGATTTTTAGTTCGATAATACAAAGGGATGGAGAGATAGATGGTAATATAACTAATAAAATAGGATCAGGGTGGACAATACAGAGACAATCTAGGGGCATTTATTCGATAAAAGAATAACGAGTAGGTTAAAAGAAAAATTCTATAGGACCGTTATTAGAATGCTGAGCTTTAAAAAAGAAACGAAGAACACCTCCATCATGTAGCGGAAATAGGAACTAAAACAGAGTATATGAAATGTAAATTTATTAAATATTTGGATCTTGATAATATAATGATCAAGCTTCAAAACCGATGGAGTATTCAAAATAATTATTTTCGATTTTTAATTCGATAATACAAAAGGATGGAGAGAGAGATAGTACTCCCTGTCCCACTTTAGATGTCCACTTCTAAAATTCTAACTTTTTAAGAGTTTGACTTTTAATACTTTTTTATTGCAAATGTATTTCCACCCTCTGTGTTGAATTGGTGGGGTTCAAAGTGATGTTATTTTTTACTTTTATCCTCTCAATGCAATAAGGGTAAATTGGGAAGGTTAGAACATATAATACGTTGTGGGACAACTAAACATGGAAAGATGGACTATTAATATGGGACGGAGGGAGTAATATAACTAGTAAATAGGATTAGGGTGGACAATATGGAGACAATCTAGTTGCATTTATGCTATAAAATAATAACAAATAGGTTAAAAGAAAATTTCTATACGATTGTTATTAGACCAACTATTCTACATGGAGTAGAATGCTGAGCTTTAAAAAAGAAACAAGAACAACACCTTCATGTAGCGGAAATAGGAACGTTAAGATGGATGGTTAGAGTGACTAGAAGAGATAGTGTTACATATGACAGTGTGAGAGAAAAATTAGGAGTGACACCCAAGTGAGAAAATAAGATTAAGAGTAAACTTGGATGGTATGGACACATACAACGAAGGCCATTAGATGCGCAAGTAAGAAGAGGAAGATTAGTTCTCATAGAGTGTAAGAAACTGAGAGGGCGACCAAATTAACGTGGTATGAAGTTATTAAATATGATTTTTAAAAGGTAAATATAATAGGAAATATAATGAATAATAGAAAAGAAAAGAAAAAAAAGGATTCATCTGGCCGACCCCATGTATATGGAATTAACTATTAAGGCAAGGATGATGGCCTTGTCATACATTTTTCTGAGGTGGCCCTTGGCTGTGGGGATCAGATTCACAGACATTTTATAGAAAGTTCATTGATCTCTCTTTCGGCAAGTCCTGAGGTTGTTTGATTGAAGGTGCTGGCTTATGAAGATTTCTAAATTCTATATGACTGCAAATTCGTCCATGGATCAGTTGAACAATCATCTTGCTTTACTGTAAGATAGTACGGAGTAGCTTTTAGAAAACCGTAAGCCATCCCAGACCCATACTGTTGGAATTACTACGAACAACTGTTTTTGTAGATAAGAGGTGGCTGGGTAATCGAATTGAATTTTACTCTTTTACCGTCACTTAAAAAATGACATTCGGGCAGTAAGGAATTGTTGTCTGATTCTCAGTCCTCACTGTTAGTTATGTTTTAATCACCTTGTACCAGCCTTGTTTTGGTCCTTGGTAATTTTGGGAACTTAGGAAGCAGTTGTTATATAACTTTCTATAAGATAAAAATAAAGGTATAGGTTCAAATGATATTTTAATTGAGTCTATCGTTTATGATGATGCAATAAACCTAACTGCCTCCCATCCCTCAACTAATTTGTTGAACTTCTGAAGATGCTAAGAAAATGCTTGAAGATTGGAGGAATAGGACTCGAATGCCTCTATCTAAGAACAAATGAGATATTTAGACTCTAGAGCTACATGAATTATTCAAGGATTCTTGCTCTTACTACGAAACTTTGAAAGAGAATGATTAAGTTTAAGACATGAAACTGGGGTTTTGTAACATAGTTTGAAGAGAATGAACCGCAATGGAGGCTGTTTTTTCACTGGGAAAAAAGAGAGGAAAAAAAGGCGAATTTGAACCGTTTGGGACATATCCTAAACCACGTCGTTTGGGATTACAAGAAACCCACTATAACCATAATTCAACAGACTCATCTCGTTCTGCAACCCTATCAATTATGTATGATCATTTAGGCATGTGTGCTGTTTAGTTCAGTTATTTAAAATTGAGTACTTTGCATATCATTGGTAATTCCTAAACTCATCTTATTACAACTCATCTCTATTTTATGTATATAATTGTAATATATGTATAACTATCTTAAATTATCACAACCATAAGTCCTGAAACCATAGGCCTCAAACTACACCCAGGATCATACATGCATGATATATATACATGCATATTTATATTTATTCCAATCAATTTACTGAACCATTATGTCAATCTATCTATGTGTGTGTGACATGTAAAATGAAGACCCGGCCATTACTACTTGTGTCCAGTACTAATCTAATCTTCATTCTAAACACATGTATACTAGTTCAAATATAATCAACAAAGTTATGAATTATGTGAACCTTAGATAATCAGATCTTATATATGAGTGCACTTGCATGAAAATGAAATATGTATAGATACAAATATAAGTTTTATACATATATATATTTTTATTAACATTTTCATAAATGGATTCAAATAGTAGGATAATAATAACATGGCCTTCACAGATTTTCTCATGCATATCAATTTTATATTCGTATTGACATAAATTATATATGTATACTCCAGTTAGGATGATATATGTTAGCAATGGCTTCTTGAGCTCGAAGATGATACCATGTTCATGTAAGAGAGAAAGAGGGAGCCAGCTTAGTGTTGAGTACTATGAGAGGTTGAAAATTGAGAGAGAGGTCACTGGAGAGAGAGTTGAGAGAGGTTAAAAATTGAAAATGTATATAAAAATTGCCAAGGGACATTTTTCGGCATGTTAAAAGGGAAAAAATGGGATTAGACATGATTTTACATATATCATAGTTAATGGAGTTTCTCTAATGGAAAGTTAACTGAAGGGTGATCCTTTGCTACATTTTTCAAAAAGTAGGGGATCAACCACGCATTAAATTTTAGGGGGTCATCATGCACAAAAACAATAATATAGGGGTGTTTTCTGCACTTTACCCAATATAATATAATAATGAGGATGATCTGAAATAGAAAATTATAATTTACTACTTAAATGAGGTGTCAATTATTGTGAGAAATTGATTTCAATCCTCTGAGAAGCCTTGATGAATGCTGCCGCAAATAGGAGTGGAGTGATGTGTTTAAGATAATATTGAATGTATATTAGAGAAATGATATTTGCACGCCACGTTTTTTGTTCTTGCACTCCACTTGCTTTTTTAAAAAGGAAAAAAACGCAATTGTACTTTAAAAGTACTCACACTACATTAATATCCAAAAAGTACTATTGCACTCCATTTTTGAGGGGGTACTTATGTCGTTTCTTATATTATAAAAAAAAAAATCAAGTGGAGTGCAAAAATATACGGAAGTGGAGTGTGAATAGCACATCCCTATATATCAAGCTAAAGTGAAATTCATTTAACTGGATTCTAAGGCCGGATATGCTTGCACTACATAATGCAAGATGGTAAAATAAAAAATAATACCTTTAAGAAAGGAGTGTAATTGGAATGGGATGTCAAGCTGAGGTACTTTTTCATTCTTCCTCTTCTTGTGTTACTGGAAATGGGTGTAATCTATTTCCAGTTTTTCTTTCTGTGAAGTTAGAAATGCCTTCACTAATGAGCTTTGTACTTGTTACTTATATGAAGGACATGATGAGGAAAAATCATTTAAAGATGGTTTGGTGACGTAGGTCATGTCCAATGAAAATTCATTCTGTTAGCAAAGAATGGTTTATTCACAGAGAGAGAGATATAGAGAAATGGTTTGGTGACTTGGGTCATGTCCAATGAAAAACAATTTCTGTAAGCAAAGAGTGCTTTATTCAGGTTGAAATTTCTATTACAATAGGCACGTGAGTGCCCTTTCTTCAGCGCTCCCCCTATCTATTAATCTCCTTTGTTCATAGATCTTGCAGGAGTGATATAGAAAGAATGTGGAGAATGTAGTGAGACTATATATGATGGCTCATTATTAAACGGAAGATATGGCATATTAGAGGAGAATTCTTACATATAGAATGGATAGCCAACTCTAACAAGTTGAACGGTTAAGGATTTTTTTTATTGATTTGAGTTGGTGTGGATGTTGTTGGACTATATTAATATCTGAATTCTGGATTGTCCTGATTTCACCCTTTTACTTTTGTTTGCAGTTTAAGCTATTAGTTACCCTTTGCATATATTCATCCAATTTAATTTTTGTCTGTTGGGATGCATGGAATTCCTTTATGATTAAAGTCGTTGAATTATATTTTGGTTTGACATTAGATATGGTTCTGACTGAGAGCAGCCACTTAGTGCGAAATAATGTTAAAGGTAGGTATGTGACCGTTATACTCCTAGCATCTTTGCAAGCGGGACCAACACTGAGCAGTGGCCTCTGTTTTATTTTTGGATTTATATGGAAGTGTACCTGAAATTCATTTATACAGGTTTAATAAGCTTCTTATATATATATTTTTGGAATTACATTTGTGCAATTTTTGTTCAGGGTCACTCTTTCTGACCAGACAACTTTTGATGCACAAGTTGTTGGATTTGACCAAGATAAGGATGTAGCTGTGTTGCATGTTGATGCACCCAAAGACAAACTGAGACCCATTCCTGTTGGTGTGTCCGCGGACTTGCTTGTTGGCCAAAAGGTGTATGCCATCGGAAATCCTGTGAGTATGAAATTACTGCTAACAAATTATATTGATATCTTTTTTTTCTGTGAATGGTAGCTTAAATGTATTGTTTCAACCATTTATTTGATTCTTTTCCCACTTCTTACCAACAATAACTGATTTACAGTTGGGAACACGGTTACATATAGAATTCTAAAAATTTCATTGAGTTCCAATTAGAACAGCTGCTTTTCTCAATCATGAACATGATAAATGCCTTAACAAATAGAATTGGGAAAGATATTAAACACTTTCAGTAAGTATTTCAATTCATAAAACTCAAAGAAGAATTTGACAGGACATTGGTGTCCCTTAGACACTTCTCTTGAATGGCAAATTTGATAAATTAGTGTCTTGTGAAATTTACAATTATCATGTACTTTGAATGATTTAGTTAAATGCACATTGTGGTTGATGATGTGATTGAACTTCACTGACAAATCGATTTCTTTGTTCAAATGTGTTTGTTTTTCCAGTTTGGACTTGACCATACACTTACAACTGGTGTCATCAGGTATGAAGTTTGGGCAATGCATTTCTTACACATAATTTAATTATATTTTGTCTAGTGAAACAGTTCCAAATATAGCTTTTGTGAAAACTATTGCAACTTTGGGTAGAACATGCTGCTAAATGGTTACTGGAATTTTGATCTAAAGGACAACTTTTAGTTGGGAGAAATTGAGGAATCATATAAAGGTAAATGACCTTTCAGTGAATGTCCAATGGATGGTACTTATTAGAAAAAGCTTGAATAAATTGTAAAATATGATGTGGCACATCATACCTGCAAGTAAGATTTTTTGAGAGACAAGACCCTTAATCCTTATGTTGACTATTTTGGGATTTCTTTGCTGATCTTGTTCTGCCATTCAGCTCTTTGCGGAGTTATATCCTGATGCATGTGCAAATGAAGTACAAGAAATAGTGACAATTGGTAAATTTGTTGCGAGTGTAGTCAGCTAAGGTGATAAAATGTACTGAAGTGTACATTTCACCGTTAAAACTAAAATTAACCCATTACCATGCATATTGGTCCTCTTTGTCTGTGCTACTGTTATGGATACATATTAGCTTTTGCCTTACTAATGTTATCATTTTAAAAGGTTCTTTATGTATTCTTTAGTGGGCTTAGGAGAGAAATCAGTTCTGCTGCTACTGGCCGTCCGATCCAGGATGTTATACAGACAGATGCTGCCATCAACCCCGGTAATAGTGGAGGGCCACTTCTTGATAGTTCAGGAAGCCTTATTGGGATAAATACAGCTATATACTCTCCATCTGGTGCATCCTCTGGCGTTGGATTTTCAATTCCAGTCGACACTGTAGGTTTATTTTTTAACCTTGTTTTCCTAATTGTATGTAATCTTTAGGTTAGGCATCATGTAAAATTAATAGAGGAAGATAATTCTGTCTCCCTCTTGCTTTAGAGTAAGTCACTAATCCAGCTTTGTCACATGGGTAGGTGAATGGTATTGTTGACCAGTTGGTGAAGTTTGGGAAAGTCACAAGGCCAATTTTAGGAATTAAATTTGCTCCTGATCAGTCTGTGGAGCAACTGGGTGTTAGTGGGGTTCTTGTCTTAGATGCTCCTGCAAATGGTCCAGCTGGCAAAGCAGTATGTTCGTTTTTCTTGTGTATTTTTTAGATTAAGGAAATGTTTTGTTCACACAAAATTAAATAATCTCAAAACTGCAGGGTCTGCTATCAACTAAACGTGATGCCTATGGCAGACTTATTTTGGGAGATATCATAACATCTGTAAATGGAAAAAAGGTCACTAATGGGAGTGATTTGTACAGAGCTCTTGACCAATGTAAAGTGGGTGAAACGGTATGTGCTGGTTTAATTTCCTTATTTACTAATTGTTTCCATTATGTGTTTGGTTGGGATTGAGATGATTCATGTTTTTTTCACTTTGGTATATGTTTTTAAGGAAAAATACTTTGTCAAATATTCATTTGTCTTGATGTTCAGGTGACTGTGGAGGTGCTGCGCGGTGATCACAAAGAGAAGATCCCTGTAATCCTTGAGCCAAAACCTGATGAGTCGTGATACCCCAAATTAAACAAGCATGTAAGATTTAAGTATTATGCAAACACTAGGAAATGTCCATTGTTCTGTTGTGCTGCTGCTGTAATTGTTTCGTAGTGTATAGGTATTGTAAATATTCCAGTTGTTGTGCTATCTATCTTTGGTCGCAAGTGATTATGCCGATGACTTGATTTTGTACAGCTATCTTTCTTCAAGGTGAAAACAGAGGCTGTGAACAAACTCCAGTGACTTAGGCAAGAGACCCCTTTCCATTTTCTATATAGTAAGTGTTTATTATTACAAGTAAAAGTCAACTTGTACCCTAAAATTTGAATCAGTAAAAAAAAGTCCTTCAAGGTTAAAGCATTTCAGTAAATGTGATGGTACCAGAAAGAGAGAGACTTTAAAAACTTTGGAGGGTCCTGAAGTAGTTAGTGATTGTTGGTACCACTCAATCGAGTGAGAGAGACATTTGAGAACTTTAGAGAAGTACTGACACCAAATTCAAAGAGTGTTATTGAATTTGGTGGCCCAAACAATTGATGGATTGAGTTACTGGGTTGCACGTACCGAACAGGGTTTCAGTGGGTATTTAGTATCATGTTGAAGGACAAACCAACGTTGTGGTCCTCAACTTGAAGGAATCATGACATCCTCTTTAGTATATGTTTGTATCCTGCAAGGGTAGCACTTTTAACTAAGTGGTGGTGTTACACGCTTACCCAATTTACCCAAAAAAATAAGTGTGCAATCTCTTCTTGTACAAAATGTAATTACTTTGTTTTATTTACCAAGGTGTAAGAAAACTAAAGACACCACTGCGGGCTGTACTTTAATGGTGTTTCTCCTAATTCTGCGACTTATTGGCATCTCTACTCTCTTCCAAAATAGGAGATAAGAGTTCAAGTTCTCCTACAGACAAAAAGGAGTATGAATTTTTAGCCGATAAAAAATAAATAAATAAATAAATATCTACTTTGAAAGAGAGGGGAGGGGTTCAATTTTTGGTTAAAAGTTGAGTGACACAATTGTTCATAAAAAAGCACTCTGGGACTATATAATTATTTTTAAAAATTATTCAATTTTAAAAGGTATATATATTTTTAGAGAAGTGTGAATATCATATTCAAATTAAATTTTTTGTTCAAGATTGTGCATGAAAACTGATGATGCATTATATTCAAATAAATATAGTTTATTCACAAAAATATAATAAAATTGATTGCGCAGGTGCAAGAGACTTTAATTAGTATTTTTGCCCATAGAATTCACATGAAAAAAAAGAGTATGGTAAAATCTAATTCAAAAGTTTTTTTTTTTTTACCAGTTAACAAGCAACTACCCTGAAAAGGACAAGCGACTGAGTATTACCCTAATAAATATTTGATCCAGTGGGGAAGGTGAGAAGAATAATGGAGCGTATTTATTGGTGCAGATGCCAATAAATATTTTGGTATGTAGCATTTGTTTCATTTCCAGTCAAAGTTGCCTCTTCCATGCATGCCATCACAATATTACCACTGCTTGCACTTCCAGTTAACTTAAACCTCCAATATTTTATATATAGATATATATTGTATATATTAATGTCAATGCTATTAATTAATTTGCCCAAAAAAAAAGCGACATCTAAATTGAAACAGGGAAGATATATGTTAAAAGCAAGTATTATGTTGTCAGAATTGGTTAGATTGCTCATCTTATTTGGAAGGCTGTTGGAGTAATAACTAATCACCAACTCTTCACATTCTAACAGTGAATTTTTTTTTTTTTTTTTTTGGATTATTAAGGGGAAAAAAATGTATTTATAAATGGAAAGTTGGTATTTGTATTATAGATGCACCAATTATTTGGCAATCCCCAAAAGTCACTGACTGGTGAGAAATTAAATCTTAAAGCTGGGGCACTTTACCCAAAATCCACATACAGGGGGTGAGGTTGAACTGGAGTTTAATAAAATAGGACTGCCAAAGTTAAATTCATTACTACTAGTAGTATTAATTGGAAATGGTAATAATTAATTGGTTACAATTGGAATAAGGTTGTGTTCATGGGCATTGCCATTATAAACAATCAATAAGGGGCTGTCAAACCCCTCCAACATACTATTGTCAATTAATTAACTTTTATATATATATATATATATATATATATTAATTAGGCCAATAACTTTGGTATAATTAATGGGAATATACGAGTAATTAATATGAATGCAATCTCAACACAATAAATTCCGAAAATTTTGTGCTCTACAACAACTAACAAAAATAGCTCTTGCACTTAATGTGTTGATTTAAATGCCTACATTTGCATGTTGTTCTATGAACAAATTTTGTGCTCTACAACAACTAACAAAAATAGCTCTTGCACTTAATGTGTTGATTTAAATGCCTACATTTGCATGTTGTTCTATGAACTTGGGATAAATTGGGTCGCTTGTTTTTAAATTGGGTAGTTATATTAGGTCGAATTTTCAAAATGAATTGCTTGACCTATAATTTTTAATTAGTTCTTTTTAGAAAGTTGTGAGTCTCACTATCTTGTATTTTGCATATATGACAAATCAAAACTTATACAAATCACTTTAAATAATCCACCTAAGAATAATTCTTTTCAAATTTTATTTTCTTATATGTTATTAAACCAAAAATGATTTTTTTTTCTGCATTGCACATTGTCCTTTCGATACTTACAGTGTTTTTCAAAACATGTTTACATGATTAAAGAGTATTAATTTTCAACTTCTTCTCCCATAAACGAAATGTGTCAAGTTTCAACAACTTCTCTCTTAAGCGATTTATCAAACCTAAGTAGCAATTTATCATTAATTATGTACCAAAATTTGCAAAATTATTTAAATTTTCTTTTTCACAGCGATTACAAACAAAAAAGGAAAGAAAACCCATAGAGTAACTTTCCTACTTCTACTCTACTCTACTCCATTGGCATAAGGTTAATTAGCTGGAAAGGTCTAATCTAATTAATGACACCCCGCTCTATATTCTTGCATTGGTTTGTGTGCCTATCTGCATATCATATATTCAGTTTTCTAACGAAAATTACAGTAATAAATTATTAATTAATCATGAACTGTCTCTTCCATCATTATGACATCATCGTTTGAGACTTTTTTATGTAGAGAATGCATCGTGATGTTTTCTCATTGCAGTTCCTAACAACTACGTAGTGTATATATATACACACACATCCATATACAGACACGCGTCCAAATTCTTTCCAAGAATCCTACTCTTTCTCTCTGCACAAACACAACAACAAAGAATGGAAAGAGGGAATCATTACAAGAAAAGTTTGTGGACAGAAGAAGAAGACAAGATACTCATGGAGTACATAAGAGTGCATGGAAAAGGACACTGGAATCGTATTGCCAAGAAATCTGGTTAGGGCATGGCATATATATATATATATATATATATATATGCAGGCAGTTTCTCCGCCTCCTCTCCTTCTTCTTCTTCTTCTTCTTCTTCTTCTTCTTCTTCTTCTTTTTCTTCTTCTTCTTCTCTCTCTCTCTTTGGAATTCTCTTGGACTCTCTCTCTCTCTCTCTCTCCCTCCCTCCCTCCCTCCCTCCCTCTCACTCGTTGGATTTCTTTTGAATATTCTTGGTTTTGTAATGTGATGTAGGATTGAAGAGATGTGGAAAGAGTTGCAGATCAAGGTGGATGAATTACCTAAGCCCGAGTGTAAAGCGGGGCGACTTTACTGAGGAAGAAGAAGACCTCATCATTAGGCTTCATAATCTCCTTGGGAACAGGTTTTTCTTTTTTGGAGTACTGTATATATACCCACTGTATGAAATTGTATGACTTGTTATATATAATAAGTTCATGAAAAATACTAATTGTTCCAATATATTAATTAATGAGCATGCAGTCTCACTCTTGGAATATTTGGTCACAAACGTACTACATAGAGGCTTATAATTAAGGATTTGAAAATTAAAATTGTTGTATTTAGGTGGTCTTTAATTGCAAGAAGAGTACCGGGACGAACTGATAATCAAGTGAAGAATTACTGGAATACCCATTTGAGCAAAAAGCTGGGCATGAAGAAGAAAAATAGTAGAGTTGCTGTTCCTGCACTTGCAAACTCCACACCACTAGTGGAAGTGTGTGAGACACCCACAACAGCAGATCATTCAAATCATCATTGTTGTGGTAGCAGCAAGAGATCAATTTCAGCCACTGAATCCAAAGTAAATGAAGCCACTCCCAGTGGTACCACTGTTGAGGCCTCAGACATGCAAGGATCGACCATGATCCACGAGGAGGCCGAGGCCGGTTTTGTTGATTCTTTCTGGTTGTCTGACAATGATTTCAAATTAGATACCCCTAGCTTGATGGAGTTCTTAGATGGGTGTTCCTTTGATCTTGATTATTGGAATGGATTATAATTTCTTTCTTTCTTTCTTAACAATGACCCAGTCTTCAATAAATTTTCTATGAATTTACTGAATTAATTCCTGATTGAAGTAATAATTTTTAAACAATGAAAAGAAAGATGATTGAATATTTTGTTTCCATGAATCATGACTACTTCCTTAATTGTGGAACCAGCTTGTTGAATTGATCGAATGTACGTTTGCCAAACCATGAAGAACAAAATGACTCGATCAATTTTTGGAAATATGGCACACTTAGAAAATTTTGTTATCGATGTAAGTCACATAAAGCTGGAACAGGAGCGAGAGCGGGAGCGTGAGAGCGACAGAATTAAGTCATAAGCACTGAGAATTTGAGCAAGAGCGCGCTTGAAAAGTGTGAACAACACTTGTTAAAAAGAATTGTGTGACTTAGTTACAGATTGGCCATTTCAAGCCAAAATTGAATGTGATCATAAGACACCATCTTTTAATTTGTTTCACCAAATCACAGAGTGAAGTGCATATAGATATAGGAAAATATGAGATTGAAAGTTCTGTGTTTAATACAGTAATTATTGGTATGATAGGAAAATATAGCTAGTTTTGTCAGCAAAGATCACGAAAAACAACAGTGAGAATGAGGCAATGCAAGGACATGGATGAAGGCTATTTCCAAGGTGTGTGTGTGTCCATGGGTTGACAGTAAAACTGTTAAAAGAGTGTGTTTTTTAATTAATTAAGAAAGAGCAGACCACAAAAAGATATGCTCTCCAGAGAAACATCACAAATCCCTTCAGGTCTTGAATGCTCACCGCCCTGTTTTACCAACCCACATTAAATGACGAGGGTGTTGGAAGGAGGAGTGTGACTGCTGCTCATCCTGCATTTCGTATTATTAAATCTGACCGCATTGTGATCCTTGTTGGTTTTTTTTTTTTAATTTATTTTTGACCCAAATTAGTTGGTGCGGCTAATGTTATGACAGAAGTGATTATGATTACGATGGAATCAGTTCAACCTTTGTTTTGAATTAGTTGGACCTGCAACCCTAATTGAATCAGTTTAAAAAAAGTTGAAGATTGATATGGTAATTATTTCTACCAAATTGATCGATGAAGACTTGTCAAATAAGAAATTGTGTTTGAATAATCTATAAATAGAGATGGTGTGAGAGGTTTAAAGGTACAGAGACAAAAGATGTAAAGAATTTAAAGGTGATTGTTGTGACAAGAGGAGAGAGATATGTAAATCTGGAGTGTATAGATGTAGCCTCAAAAGAAATAATGAGTGATTGAGTGGGATTTTGATATCTGAATGTATATTCTTTTCCTTAATTCATAGTAGTGAAATCTCTCTCTTTCCATAGACTACCCCTCAAATTAGGCTGCAAGTTGGAATTGACCGGCCTAGCCCAACCCGAACCCAGCCTGAGATTTTTCGAATTGGGTTGGATTCACCAACGAATTGGGTTGGCTTTGGGTTGACACATTTCTACCTGCTCGAGTTAGAACATGGTCAATCCAAACCCAACCCGAATTCTTGTGAGAGGACACGCCGCCGCTCCTCTGTTGTCGCTGCAGCCGCTGTCGTCGTCCCTATACTGCCGTTGCCGCCGCCGTCGCCCCTCCCCCTCAGCCGCTGATCCACCGCCCTTGCCATCTTTCCGCCTCAGTCACTAAAATGCACCATATCGTGCCCATTCATCCCTTGATCTCCTACTCTCCGACTTAGGATTAGTCCAAACAGAGAGAGACTGTGCGATAGGGCACCTCTCTCTGACCCTCCAAATTCTTAGGTCAATTGTATTTTGACTCCTTTTTTTTTTTTCGATTTTAGAACTCATAATCTAAATAAAATAAAATAATGTATTTCTAACTTCATTGACGTGAATATCCCTAAATTTAGAATATCATAAAACACTATATAAATAAGAAAAGATATTTTCTAATTTCTAAGTAACATTTTTGTAGAATTCAACTGTGCATTTTTACAAAAATAACCTATATACATCATATATAGAGAAAGATGTATAACTGTGTTTCATTTTTTTTTTTTTTTTTCAAATCCTCTCTTTGAAGGCGCGGGGGAGGGGGGGGACTCAACCCATGAAACCCAGCCCGCCCCGTCCAAAATATTCGAGCTGGGATATGCCCATAACCCATGTTGGGTACAATTCGGGCTAACCAACTCAATCCAATTTCGGGTTGAGGTTGGGTTAGGACTGGGCTGGGTTGGGCTAGCCCAACTTACAGCCCTACTTAAAATTGGATAAACCATGTAAAATATTGTGTTATGTGTGAATGTGCATGATTATTATCTTCATATATATTTGTGTTAATGTGATGTGACGATACTTCCGTTGTATGTGATGAAGGAGTCATTTAACTCTCAATAACAGCCTACTGTTGAGTGGTTGACGAGAATTAATTATCCCTAACAATCCTTACATTACACAATACACAAATATGTAACTACGTCGACTTATAATTTACGTTTATAGTGAAAATAGACAAAGATATTTTACTATCCAAAAAAGAAAAAAGAAGAGATTATAAATTCGCTAGTCTCCAACCCTTTGCCACGCTCGCCCTTTATTTTAATTTTTAATGTCCTCTCGTAGCCCCGGCGCGCCGTGACCCAAGGCGAACAAGGTAGTCACCTAGGGCCTCAACATTTAGAGGCCTCAAAATTTTCGGCCCATGAACAATAAGCCCCCAAAAAATATATTTAGGGCCCTTCAATTACACAAATTCACATTCTCGTTAGCCCAATATTTCTCTCTCCAAATTTAGGGCCTCAAAAATTTATGTGCTTATTTTTTCATTTTAATGAAAATTTCGCACTCTTATAAATTTTTTATGAGTGTGAAACTTTTTTGTGTAAAAGGCCTCACATTTAAGTTCGTCTAAGACCACTTAAAATTTTGTCAATCTCATAACTGGCCCTTCTCGAACCCACTGCAAACCCTAACACCCTTACCTAGGGGGCGTTACAATAAAAATTAAAATTTGAATTCACTATTGACACGACAAAATGAATCGAATTAGTCACGTGACAACCGGATCTCAAAGCGACCCACAGTCAAGCAAAAGTCACGCCACAATTTTACTGAGATTATTTTGTGAAGTTTTTAATTTCGAATTAAAAAAACATTCCATATTATACGTAAGATAAAAGAGAAATTTGCCACCCTCGCCAACAATTATTCCAATAATTACATGTCCGATTTAACCTATGGACGAATGCGCAAACATACGTTTCATGCTTGTTTGAGTAATAACACTGGAGGTGAAGTACTGTCTATTGCTTAAGGTTGAATTAAATTTAGGTGGAAGTGTTTGAGCTAAATTTTGTTAATCAATCCTAGGACTCCACTTTCAGAGACCAATTTGTTTGTTGAATACTTGAATTGAAGATTTCATTATGAGAAACATCTAGATGCATCCTAATTCGAAAAAGTTGATTTTGACATACTGTGTGAATTGAATGTTGATGGAACCCACTTGTACAGTTTAGACAAGACATATATGGTGACTGATGGATGACAGAGATGAGGTCCTATCTCCAAAACATGGTTTTCGTGCTAATGTGAATCTAAATCGATTGATTGTATGTATATTGAATCTTATACGAGTAGTTTAATTTTTTAAAAATTCTAACTTTAAGAAAATTTTAAAAATTACACACAATTAAGGTGATGTTATAATGACAGGGGAAAAAAAAAAATTAACAACACTATGACAAATAAGTTGTTTTTTTGTATTAATTTTAATTTAATCTTAAGGGCACCATTTATTAAATTTATATTAGGAGCCATATTAGTCCTTATAACAACACAATGTAACAAATTTAATGATTATGTGGAGGAAGGGGTTTTTTGTTAAAAATTAAAAGTATAAAGGAATTTTATGCAATTTACCTTTTAAATCGATTGAGCATACGACGTTTTCTAATGAAAAATGATTCTTTCATTGAAATCTCAAATCTATTTATCTAACCTAGGGGTTTCTAATTTGAGACCCGAAAAGGTTGAAGAATGGGTTAAATAGTCCACACTATTAGAAAAGAATAATAATATTTACACAGATTTTTTAACCTATTTATTTTACCAAAGGGATTTCTATCTATTTAATAATGTAGATAAACTAAGGGTAAAGTACATAGACACCCCTTGAGGTTTGGGGTAAGGATAGGCAAATAAAATTTAGCCTATTTTGAAACAAAGACACCCCCTCAAGTTTGATACAGTAACCAAAGACACCCTAATGGTAATGAATTGACATTTTTGCCCTTTAATTTTTATATTGATCCATGTGAATATTGAAATTACCTTTTTAACCTCTTTCTTATGATCTTTATGTCAAAAATATCCTCATCCTTGACGTGGCAAACATGTGATAAAATATGGTCATCTTATTCGGACATAGTTACCTGGTACCAAAAAAATTAACAACAGTGATTTGTGGTCATCTTGTTTCTTTACTGTAATTTGAATTTTCATCGAAGAAAGCTTAATTTAGTTTCTAATTAGATATTTAGATCATGGCGACTGACGAGGTCTTGGTGCCCGACAAGAAAGCGAGAGTATGAGGCGTAAGTATTCGAGTGATTGCTTAAAATCAACATTGATTGGGTTGTTGTTGTTGGTGTCTTCGTCGGTGGAGCAATCGGAGGGAATAAACGAGAAGAAACAGGCGGAGTACCGCCGTCGACTCCTATGTTTCTCCTCTGCTTGCTTTCTCGGCGAACAAACCAGCGCCGTTGCGGGAGACGACATCGGAGTCACCATCGACAACTGATCTGAAAACTTCGTCTTCTCATTGTACCGCTTTGAAACCTAAATGTACAAAGGTTTGATCACCTTTAGGTACTTTTGCACTACATCTTTCGGAAACAACTTCGAAGAATTAACCTAAAACGCATCCTGTGAGCTCTGTTTCGTTAATTTGTTTATCAAATTGTTGTCTCTAGTGAAGAATGACGAAATCAGAGCCTCCATGACTTCGCATTTGACTGTGAAACGTTTGCTCTATTATTTTTTTTTGGTGATTTCTACTGTAGAGTCGCTATGGGGGCAAAAATCTATTTTTGCACCTATAATCGCCATTTTTGACTTCTTAAACCCCAACGTAACACACCTGATTCACCATTGAATATATGGGTTTGTAACCCCCCCCCCCCCCCCCCCCCCCCCCCCCTCTCTAGACAGAAGCTTGGTTGAAATCCTAAAGTGGGTCTCGTCACCATCGGAACTGATGCGTTGAAGTTCTCTGTTTTAGGTCGCTATTTGTTCGGTGCTTTGCCGGAGCTGGGTCTTCATTATAGAGCTTGATGTTGCTCAGAGCTCGCGGTTCTATTCACCGTGGAAGTTTGGCTACGGTCACGGAGGAGGAACCATGAATGGTTGTTGAAGGTTCGGTCACCTTTGTGCTCGCGGATTTAGAGTCGGCCTCGTCGGATTCGAAAGATCTAGAGTCAACAGAGCTCTCTGCAATGGAATAGCCGGAGCTCTGTAAAACATCATGCATCGGCGAGGAGTGGGCCACGGCCGTCGGCAGAGCTCTCTGCCATGGACTCGTCGAAGCTCTGTACAAAAATCATGAGCCGACGAGGAGCAGGCCACCGTCGGCACCGAGGTAAAGGACGCGCCGTCTTCTTCGTTGATTATATATATGTGTATATACAAATTATTGATAAAATATATACATAGAGAGAGAGGTTAGAAAGGTAATTTCAATATTCACATGGATCAATATAAAAATCAAAGGGCAAAAATATCAATTCATTTGTCTTTAATTACTGTATCAAATTTAAGGAGGTATCTTTGTTCCAAAATAAACTAAGTTTCATCATCCTGTCCTTACCCTAAACCTCAGGGGGTGTCTATGTATTTTACCATAAACTAAAATTTAGGTACATTTACTACATATAGAAACCAGTTAGATAAATAGGTTTAAAATTCCGTTCAAAAATCATTTTCCTTGACCATTTTATCTTGTCTCTCCAAATAGAAACAGAGTGGCTTCATTTGGAACTCAAAAGAGAATTAAAAAAATTATACACTACGGAAATTTGTGAAGAAAAGCAATACGTTAAGAATGAAAAGAGAGAATTTTATGACTTCGGAAATGTACAGCACAATAACTAAGCATGAATTGTTTGGTCCTGAACAGTATCGTGCAAGTAAGAATTGCTCAGCTTTAAGACATGATTCTCGATAGAGAAAAGGAAATGAAATAATAAATAAAGTCACTCCTTAATCCAAATCAAAGTGTTAATTCGGTGTTTCCTAAACATAACCCAAAAATACTGTCGAATGAATCAATCCACATTCCATCTAATGGTCTCTACGAGTAGAAAAATGCATCGATGAGAGTCACAAGAAAGATAGCCCCATGTCAATACATTCAAATTATTGAAGTAACATAAACATAGCCAATATTGAATCTTTATGGTGCCCATAAGAACACTAACAAATTACGTTTTAAAAAATACTTTATGCAATCACCCTCTTCTTACCACCAAAATTGATACCATGCAGCTCCTGAAGCTTCCAGGCTCTTTACATCAAATTTCAGTCCACCCGCAAGGTACAATGTAATGACTGCTTGTACGTTAGAATATAAATCATGCTCGGACCAAACCCAGCAGACCAGTACATGCACACCAGGTAAATTTTTAATATTCCATGGTTATGATGTAACATTTCATCCGCCATGACTCACACGTGCACCGTACACTGTGCAAGCCATTTTAGAACATACGATGATTTTTTGTTTTGATCATAGTGCTTCCAATATAAAGAACCGTGGTGGTGTTCTGATCAGAGTGCCTTTACTATTCTGACCGACTATTTGGGAGATAATCTAATTGGACAAACAGAGAATGCAACACATCGAGCTGCTTTTGCCAGCAAGAATCGCTCATTTTCTGTCAAAGGCCTCTCAATCACCTTCGCAACATTCGCATCCTAATACATCAAACAATAATTAGCATTGATGAAATATTGAATATTAAGGAAACTGTTGACCCTGAAAACCCAATAAGTTTGTTTCCATGTATTTTCAAATTTCAACAATATTCATGTTCATTTCCACATGACGGTAAGCATCAACATCCAGATATATCATATATATATTTGTATGTTGGGATCTCAATGAATCTATTAGCGCAAACACTTGAAACCCATATGAACCTCGATAACATGACAGCATAATTCTAACATTTAGAGACTTACCAAAAAAAATTTTAAAAAAATCTGAGATTTAGAGGGATATAATGATATCTTCCTATATTTTCTTAAACAAAAACTTGCAACTTGCAAAAAGTTGATGCATTTACCTTCTTTTGCTGTTGAACAGAAGGCCTCACACTGGCAATGTCACCCACCACAATTACATTGTTAACATTTCCCCTTTCATCCCTTTCAGTTGGTGAAGATGTTGAATGCCTCCATTGTCCATTAGTAATGAACTTGTAGTAGTACCTGGAGATGACAAACAGTTCATTTCAGATGAAAATCTAGGTGAAACATATATTCCAGTATGTAAAATGTCTTAGCAAATTGATCGCAGTCTTCCAAGGTCAGAGATCCATAGGTAACTCCAGTTGTGGTTAGAAAGAGACTTACAACGATACCCAAAGAGCTGTACCTCTTCAGGCTTTGGCCCGCTTTCAGCAGAGAGAGAGAGAGAGAGAACTTTATAACGAAATCTTACATCCCTAGCTTATCACAAAACCCGCAACCCCAACACACCCCCCCCCCCCCCCCCCCCCCCCCCCCCCAACAAAAAAACCCAAGAGAGAGGATGACTATGATCCTTGTAGGTAACTTGGACACAACAGACAAATCATCTCAAAAATATATGATGCCAAGAAATATTTTCAATGAAAATAGGTAGAAATAAATTTAACACATACAATGGAGACTCCAATTGCTGATTATTTGGCCGATTACTGTCTCATTATTTGGCCAGATAAACCTCATAAAGATAAGTCTCAGTGCGAGAAAAGGAAAATTGGAAGGAAAGAAAGACACAGATGAAAGAAATATTCCAAAGGAAAGGACCTTTCTTTCTTTTCATTATTTGTGATTCTACCTTTGTACATAATATTAAAGATTAGAATTTTTCAAGGGTAAAAATGTCAAAATTAGGAGAGTTCCTTCCAAATCTCCTTCCCACATTCGATGGTAAGGAATGCGTTGAGCCCAGAGGGAAAGGCCCCCTCCTCTCCTGGCAAACAATTGAAAGCTTATTCTACCCGTCACTTCCCTAACTACCAAACACCCCCTTTTCTATCTCCCATATTTTCCACCCACCTAACCAACCACAAGAAAAGTGTACAAAAGTGACAATGGATTGAAGAAAATTAACATACATGTGTCCAACCTAATGTCAAACTGCATATGAATGGGTCCAAGAAGTTAAACCCAAAACCAACCATTTAAAAACAGAGCCTACATGGATTTGCCATTTGGCTCTGTTAAGATCCAGACAAACATCATTAAACAAATACAAAGAATTATCAGATCACGATAGATGCTTAAGCAATAGAAATTCAAAAAGACAAAGAAGCCATCCTCCAAATCTCAACAAATCATCCTGCTCAGATGCCTGACCTAAAGCCATGCCAATTACGAGTCACTGACAAAATGGAGCAGGCATGCCTGCTGATTAGGTCAGATTTTTTAAAACTCCTGGCAAATTAGCACAAGAAAAACTTGCAACATCAATATGTGCATGCACCAACTTCTCATTTGAAAAGAAGATAAAATTCTGAGTAGGCCAAATAGAGCACGTGTGTCTAATCATGAGGGGGGATTGAGACAATGATTAATAGTCAACAGTTTCAATGTGGGCAATAGGCTGAGGTTAAAGGAACAATTAACCCTACACAGAGTCAGATTCCAATGTAAGCAATGCACACTCTTGGAGTAATTTACACATGCGGGTTGGCAGGTCAACTCCAGCCAGGATAGATTTGACCTGACCAAACACAATTGAACTCAGTGCATTCTAATTCATTCATTGGCTCTATAAAGAAGATCATGAAAATTCAAATTGGTGGGAAATATGCTACTGAATATCTAAACATATTAGCAAAGACGTAGCACAACACTGCCATGAAAGGAAAGGCGAGGCTTTAGAGTTCGATGACCGCATTTATTAAAAAGGGAAGTGTCTAAAGCAATCAGAAATGATTATGATATGTTTTATCATGAAGCTCGTAAATTCTTACTACACGTGTACTGTTCTCAACAATGTAGATTAATAAAGTCAAATTTGATAATCCAAAACGTTTGCCATCAGGATTCCTTTAGGGGATAACAAATGAAGACTCGACCTCTAATTTAAAACTCTAGTGGTGATGGTGTCCATGCATTGCTGAGTAGAGTAGATATAAGGTATGAAATTTTTTTAAGTAGTGAAGGCAATCCAAGGAAGGTCATTGTCTGGTTTAGCAGTTTAACGCTTAAAGTACACTTGGTGCCAAGATTGAGCTACAAAACAGCTCCCTTCCCAGGGAAAATTTTTAGATGGTCCTGGACCAATGACACTTGGTGGACTAGTTAAATATAGACACTCGGATTGAGAAAATGGCCCCACAAGAGTGTATTAATATATTTCAAAGTGTCATGATCAGAAGGTTGTCATTGAATTAGTCCACCAAGTGTCAAATAGACTAGGACCATCTAATAATTTCTCCTTATCAGGACCCTGCTTTAGCGGGACCAGAATTGGTTAATGACCCTTTTTTAGTGAAGGAAATCCAAGACACATTATGGAAAATCTCAACAAATGCTTGAAAGTTTGAAACCCCCTCAAAACCTATAAAGGCCACAAAGAATAATGTAACTTACTTCCCTTGTGAAAGCCTGACTTCAACTTCATATCTTGGGCCACCCTTGTGGACTGCCTTAATTGGTTCTTTCCAATTTCCAGTAAAATCTCCAACCAAGGATACATCCTCACCCTGTAATTGGACAACAAAGTGAAAAGAATGGCTACATCAAAACGACCAAATCACACAATTGAAATTTATAAAGATAATTACATAAGCATACATGCAGCAAATTCCTTGCTGGAATCAGTTCCCAGAATCGAACACACACACACAGAAAAAAAATAAAAAAAATAAAAAAAAACTTCACATTTTGAGGTGTCAAACAATTAAAACTGAAAATAATTCTAATTGAAGTCATCAAGTACCTCTTGCCCATTCCACACGAATGTCACAGCATGGGTTGCTGGTCCATCATGTTTGCCGTTTTCCACCATAGCTATAAGATCCCATGTTGCCCACGCAATTGCTGGTCTGCATTCAAATTTCTAGCACATAATTTATCAAAATTCATTTCAGCATTCAAAAGTATGTGTATGGATGACGCAAGACAAGTAACAACTTATAGTAACTAGAAAGAAAGAAGGGGATGAGGATGAGAAGATAAGATGAGGCTAGATGAAGGAGGAGAGAAGACAGACGAATAGGGATGAGAATCAGATTGAAGTAGGTAGGATAGATAGACGGAGGGATTAAGAACAGCAAGAACAAGGGAGAAGAGACACAAAGGGAGTTTGCAAACTCAACGATAATATTCAATTTTTCAAAACTGAGTTCTCAACTTACAAAGGAGCCTTCACATAGGCAAATTATTAAGCAAACCCTAAAACATAAAAATACCAAACAACCCTAAAATTCAAACATGATCAAATATAACAATAAGCATAAATAAAAACCCTAAATTACTAAAATCCCCAATTTTATTTCTCTTTCCCACTTCTCCAAAAGTAACATTGGAACACGTGCAGCTCATGTGTGTGAATCACACCCCATTCCCCATCAATAGGTATGCCCCCACTTGATATCTTTGTACATACTTCTTTACAAATAATTTTTTTCCACCATTTGCCCAGGAAAAAAAGAGTATATGTATAATTATGAAAATAAATTTCCACAGAATTAAGGTGTACATGCCAGGATCAACAATGCAACTACTCTTTTACGTCAATACAAGAATCCATCCTGAAATTAGGTGCACTGCACTCTGATCAGAATGTGGTCTGGGCCGGCGTCACAGGATGTTAACCATATGTGTCCGAACACACAGACACCCACATACACACACATGCACAGGTTATAGTAGACAACTATATATCCCATAAATTACTAGTCAATCATGTTTTATGTGAACAATTCTTAAATGATACCACAAACAAAAAATTATGGGACAAAGTTCATAACTCCGCCCACATGTTCGTATTTTAAATTCAGAATATAGAAGATGTGAATCAAAATAGACAGACTTTCTCAGTACAATTAACATTTTTATAGGTGGAGCTGAGACTTTGTTTGGTACAGAGGAGGTTAAAAAGAAGAACCTGTCAGGCCTGCATGAATGCAACCCAGTGACGAAATTGTAGGCTGCGTGTAAGGATGTATCTGTCATCCAATGCAGATATGCAATCACACAAGCAGGGGATCGATCAAAACCAGTGGTGCAAGTGACATAAACACGATGGTTCTTTTTCAATAAGCGTAAAAGTAGACCCACACAAAATGGTAGTTTCTTCCTCATATCAAATGAATCTACCTCCCTACAAAAGAAACAACATTCAAATAAGTGTGTCATCATCAAATGAAAAACAGCTAGCATGGTTTAATTGATAAGAAATTATATTCTGACCAATTAAGAACTGCCCTGTACATTTCCATTTTCCAGGGTGAACATAGATGATAGAGCATTCATAAGGCAGAACAGTTAGGCATTACCAGATTAATCACTAAAAAGTCCAAAATCAAGACAACAGCGCAGAGATGCTACATACTAACAAACCAACTATAAATGTATGTAAATACATAAATATGTAGGTACATATGCAAGTAAGCATGTATTTAATTGTTTATCTACACTGAAAAAATTGGAGAACAGAACAAACACCACGAGAGTATGCCCAATTAAAATATGAAATGAACAATTCTAATTTTTTTTTATGGGCCACAATAATTTGTAATTACCTTATAGGATAGTTGATCATAAGGATATTAAATTGTTGGCATGACTCATTGATTGATTTGGGACTAATACCCCAATTTTCTGCTTCAATTCCACTCTGGAAATTCAGTACAGCAGTGACTCCCTGATGCAGACATTTCCTGACTGTTGTAAGTGAGTGTTTGAACAAGACACAACTAGATCCAAGAAATTAACACTCAAAAGGTATCAGTCTAAAAAATATAAATAATAGCAACATGTCCAGAATCGCTGACTAAAGGTCATTTAAAGTAACTAAATTCATTTTGCACCACAATTGGTGAGGTGGTTTAAGAAAGCTAGTTAACTTCTTAATTAATATATTTACTACAAATTAGCATATATTTTATTCCCTTGATCAGTCAAATATAATTTGACATCCATGAAAGAGGGGAAGATTATGTTCCATAAATTGCCCCTTTCAAACTTCTCTACACTCAAAACCATAGCATGCAACAATTATGCTCCCAAACAGACACATCTGAGGTTCTTAAAGAAAAGGGAAATATATATGTACTGCCTAAGCTGGATAATTAACAACCCATACAGCTAGTTTAAGCAGCAATCGCCGATCGTATTTGCACAAGGCATACAAAGATGGGTATAGATCACATTGGCACTCAAACAGACTGAAAATGAAGCTAAAATAGAACCTTTACATATGACTGCAAAGTTTTAGTCATGAGTCAGGATAATACTTGAAATTTATAGTTAGAGGTCCCTTGTTCTGTGAGAAGGTTGGAGCAACTTGATACATAGTATCTGAAATTCACCACACCCATTTAAAAAATGTAACATTAAGTTAAAAAGAAGAAAAAGAACTCTTTCTATTGGTTGCTGATATGAACTGTAGAATCACAAATGCCATTGATTGACTGGTTGTTACAATCATCATCTTGTACTCCTTGCACATTGCTAACAAGGCACAATCAAGGGGTTTCTCAAGAACCCTCTTATTGTATGCAATTTTTTTTTTTCCCAATTTACACAGTCTACAGATTGGAATATTATTCATGTGGCAGTCAAATTGTAGGTTAACAACAAGAATCAAAGATTGAACAGTGTTCAAAAAACGAAAGTACTACCAGCACTCACCGCAACATTTGACAAAGTCTCTACATCAGCTTCCTTTTGTATACATGACCCCACATATATTTGCTCCGTAATCTAACAGATAGCAAATAGTAAAATGATCAGAATTGTGAAAAACGTTAAGAATTTCATTGGCCAAAACATGATATGCGTGAAAACATATTTTTTTTTCAACTACGTATATGGACATACATGTTTTTTCAGGGCAGGTCACATTACATTAGTGCAATCCCTCTTAATATTTTTCTTCTTATAAGATTCATTTCCAGTTAAACCAATCACCAGACTGGATTTTCACAAGTAATCACTATGTTCCAAGTACAGACATTTTTCTCCCATTTGCATGTATACTACCACAACAAAACAACAATCGCCCTGATTCAATTTCTCCTAACTCTTTATACCAACAGGCAACCTATTCCATTATACCCAACGCCTTTTTAAGGACCCAAATTAATTTTCAATATATGAACATAAAATTAACACAAAAAGAATTATGCTTTTTGGTTTTTATCACCTCAAAGATTTGCAGTACCAAAAGAAGTATAAAGCATAAACAAAATTGGAATACCAAAAGAAATATAAAGCATAAGCAAACTAAATATCACACCTTACTGTACTGCATACCAAGAGAGTGATGGTAGTACAGTTCCCCTTTAGATCGATCTAATGCTTTAATGTACTCCTCCAACGGGAAGCTCCCGTGTGCCCATTCAGCATCTCCAGACTCTTCATCAGAAAAAATGGTAACAAGTTGGCTCAAGGGTGCATCCGGAGTGCTTTTCTGGATTTGTGGGTTAACGTGTCCATTCTGATCTTTTAAAAACTTCCATCCATTCGATATCAGAAACTTTGAGGAAAATATGGCATACCCAGAATTCCCACTACCCTCTGAAGATGTTCGCAAGTTTGATGCCAATATAGTTTTGTTCCAAGTGCAAATAGGAACACGACCTCTATTAAACAATATATCAATGGCATTTGAAATATGTAGTTGTTGAATTGGAAAAGGAGAGAAGGGCCTTTCAAGGACTAGGCTACAAGATCCAGATTTCTCTTTCATCATCTTCCTGAAAAGAAAAAAGAAAAAAATTTGATAGATTGAAGTACAAAAACAGATAGATACATGGTAAGATAAACAAACATATGAGAGAGGGAGAGAGAGAGAGAGAGAGAGAGAGAGAGATTGTTTTAATCAATGAAAAACAATTATAGTATTTTTTTTTCTAAGACAAACTAAAATATATCCAAAGCTAAATTTGAGGCTAAGTGGACAGAGAGAGAGAGAGAGAGAGAGCTTGGTGTAATCAATGGAATACGAGAAGAAACAGAAAGATGTCCAAATCCTGAAGATAAACTTGAGGGTAAGAGGTGCACAAGTCTATATTTTGCTATCCAATAATAAAATTTCTCATGCACTTAGGTAGGACGCAGAGCTACATAACTATCTGTGAATTGACACCGTGATGATTCTTGTCAAAAATCTACCCTATAAAATGTATAAGCTATAAGAATTTAATGATCCAAGATTTGATACAATTCAAATACACTTGTGCAAAAGTACTAACAATTCGCTGAAGCAAACTAGTGCATTCCACTACTAATTAATCCCTCATCAAGAACAAAGCTCAAGTGCTACGTACTGCAATATAGAGTGACTTTTACATTTCAGTGTAAGTAGTTGTTTGATAACTCAATTTAGAACTTAATATCACGTACTTGTCCAATTAAGTGCGTTTGATAACGCAATTCGCATATCATTAAAAAATCGTGCCACTTAAATTGAGGTATAAATTTAACAGACACTGGCTTCACTTATCACTAGATGTCAAACACTAAAAATCCAAAAAGATATCATAACAATTCTCAATTTACAATTACCACCACTTAAAAATTAACACATTCAGCCCTTAAAATTCCCAGTACTTAATTTTCAGTTTTTTTCAAACAGCACCTTAGCGCTCTCTCTCTCAAATGGTTTCTATTCTTTGATAAAAAGTAAGTTATGGTGTAGTTTAATCATCGAAATCATGAAATCCAACAAGACGGTAAAATGCCAACCATGTATCTCCATCAAATAGAACAAGCGGCAAACACTCATTAATCATATGCTAGCTTAATTCTTATACATTTAGGGTGGCTCGACATTTACTGCCTGAACAGGACATTTTAGCATGTTCAAGTGAATGTCTCACAATATAAGCAATGATGTTATGTTTGAGGGCACCGAATCGGTGCCTTGGATTTGGTATTGAAGGAAATTTAGTTCAAACTTTGTACTAAAATTCCTCCAAATCTAAAGCGCCAATTCCGTGCTGCCAAACATAGCATAAAGATATTTGATAGGTATATGCAGTAATTATTATATCTATCTGAACATGTGCAAACGCATATGATATGAAAATAACATGCATTATGAAATAAGAGACCAGTTTTATTTACAAAAAAAAGTATTATCACATACTCTGTATCACTGAAGTCATTGATTTCAATAAGCCTCCCACCAGATGTTTCACTCGCCTTTTTCAAAGTGTCACCAACCATAATTATTCTAGACTTTTCTGCATTACCCTGGACAGCAATTCTACTGATTAACTAACCAATAAATTGATCCAATCAAAAACTATATTTGAGTTGCAGAGAAAATTATCATAGATTTATATGTGGCATACAAATGCAGAACACAAACCCCTTTCTTGAGAGCATGAACAAAGATCTTGCCATCGACAGAGAGGGCGAATCGGATGCCGAGTGGTTTCTCAAGAGTCACCATATACTCATTCAGATTCATCTTGAAATTTGAATCAGTCGAACCAGCAAAAACCCTAGAAACTCTCCGAATGCAACAGCGCTTCTTTGCAGAACCAGCCACTGAGCCTCCATTGATTAAACACAAGTCTTTGCCCCAAAAAGAAGAGGAGGACATTACAGTCTTCGTAAACTTCTCTGTTAAAGAGAAGCGTCTTGGATATGGCGAGCAATCGAAAGCTTTGTAATTCGAAATTTGAAATGAAGACATCGAGATTTTGTCTGATGGCAATTCCGTTAGGGTTTGTTCAAGCAATTGAGCACACAAAAACCTTTCAAAAAAAAGAAAAAATTGAGCACACAAAATGAATAAAACTCTGTAATCAAAATTTTATGGTATAAGAGTATTTACGTTCATATTATAAGCAGTGAGATTCGAGCTGATTCTGGGGAGTTGTGTTGGTGGATGGTTGAAGAAGAGAGAAGCCACATAGTCGCTGTAAGCTCCGTGGTAGTGGGACCCACTTGCACGTGTATCTGGTAGCCCATTTACTACATTGACACGTGGAAAAATATCTTGCCGCGGCTCAGTGGGATTTGATTGGACCAGTCGCGGTGATTTTGAGCCGCAGATTCGCAGATTAGCAAATAACAGGCTCAACAGTAGCTACCGCAGAGCATTTATATATTAGGAAAAATTACATATAAATAGAGTTAAAGTTCCATATTTACTTAGAGGCTAAGTCAAAGTTTCATATTTCTCTAAAATGAATTGCTGAGGTGGCATATGATTTTTTACTGTTTAGAAATTGTGGTGCCTAAAATACCCTTCCGCAGAGGTACTACTTTTTCTTCGAAGGTACTACTTTTTTGAACTGAATGTACTACTTTTTGGCGTCCAGATACCATGTTTTTTAAACACCCGCGAAGGTACTACTTTTTCTCCGAAGGTACTACTTTTTTGAACTGAAGGTACTACTTTTTTGTTAGGGAAGGGCATTTTAGGCACTACAATTTTCTAAACAGTAAAAAATCATGTGCCACCTCAGCAATCCATTTTAGAAAAATATAGAACTTTGACTCAGTCTCTAAATAAATATGGAATTTTGACTCCATTTATATGTAATTTTCCCTATATATTATGGTATAAAAGTTTAAATTCTCTCTCTCTCTCTGTGCACAAGCCCCTCCGAATTTTGACTTTCTAAAAACGACAGGTATACTCTCTCTGGCCATTTACACTAGTCTCTTCGAATTTTTACTCTCTAACAATGTTACATTAGTTTTTTCAAGAACCACACCAGCAATTCTATGAGCCACGTCAACAGTTTTCGCTCTCTCCCTCTCTCTCTCACTAAGGCCATCTGCACCAGCCTCTCTAGATTTTGGCTCTCTAAAAACGTCACATCACCTTTTCCAAGAGCCACGTCAACAATTCTAAGAGTTACGTCAATAGTTTTCGCTCTCTCTTTCTCTCTCAGGCCATCTGCACCAGCCTCTCTGAATTTTGGCTCTCTAAAAATGCCACATCAGCTTTTCCAAGAGCCACGTCAGCAATTCCAAGAGTCACATCAATAGTTTTCGCTCTCCAAAAACATGCACTCCATCAGGCTATCCGAATTTTCAAAAAGATAATAATAAAAATTAAAATTAAATTTTTTTTTTTACTTTTCCTAAACGGCTATATTCATAACGGCTATATTTTAAACGGCCAAATGCATTATTTGTAGTACACATTTAAAATTTAAAGCCAAAAAAAAAAAAAAAAACAAATTTTAAGTGCAAAACACAAAAAAAAAAAAAACAAGCTTTTTTAATTTATTTTTGGCCCAAATAAAATTTATTTTTGACAAATAGTGCCTAAACAATATTTTTTTATTTAATATATTTTATTTTATTTTTTATTTCTAAAAAAGAGCTCAAAATAACCTATTTTTATGTTTTAATTAAAAAAAAAAAAAAAAATCTGACAAACAATGCCTTAAGGCATTATTCGGCACAATGTGGAAGGAGCTGCTAGAATTAAAACAAAAGGCTGCACCAAAAACGGCGTCGTTTTGACGCAAAAAAGACAAAAAAAAAAAAAAAAATTCGGCGATCGCAGGTCGGCTCGCTGAATACTGCGAGCCGGTCCGCGATGGCTAATGGGCCCCATCAAGTTTAGCTAGGCCGCTGCAGGGCCTTTAATGGATTGGCTCGCCTAAAATGGGTTATCAAAAACCTGCTGCGGATGGCCTTACACACACACACAATGCCTATTACTACAAAATTCCACCCCACTTTCCCATTTAAGATAAAGATACAATTGAACCTAAAAATCTCCTATTTTTTATTTGTGTAAACTACAAAGACACTCCATGAAATTTGGAATAAGGTCATGCAGATGAATGTTTGCTTATTTTTAGATAATCCCTTTGAAAAATAGGCAAAGAGACCCTAAAGATGATGAATTGACCTTATTACCTTTTGAAATAAAATTAACATTTTAATTGACTTAAATATTCTTAGATTAAACCCTAACCCGAACTTGAACCCGAATCCGCCTGTATGGTATAACCCATCTATATTTTTTCTTTTATTTTATTTTTTCCTTCTCATCTGGACCACCGTGGCAAACGACATCACTCTGTCCCGCTGTCGTTGTCTTCATCGCCGCCTCAATCCCAATCCCAATCCCAATCCATTACTAACTTTATCGAAGAAGACCCAAATCAGTTCAAAGTATATGCTTGGTAATAAACGCGTCTATAGTCTTTTACAATTCTTCAACCATCTTTTCATTTCCTCGTAAATTCTTTTCTTCTAAACACCCAAAACTCTTTCCTTTTAACCCTAATCAAATTCATCATTATCGGCGGTGAAACCACCAATCTCATCCTCAACTGTCCACATCATCCAGATCTGACGATGGTAGAACCATCAATCTCATCCTCAAAGCTTTGCTGCAGGCTCAAACTTCAACTTTCTACCGTCGTCAAAAATCAAAGACGCCGGGGAACGTCTCTGTCAATCCAAGTCAAACCCGGTTTGTCCGAGGCCGAGTTCACCCAAACCGTGGCGGAGCTCCGGCGAGGTCGGGGAGGTGGTTGTGGCAGTGGCAGAGCTCCTCTTCGGCGTCCACTTTAGTGGATGGTGATTATGGAAGTTGGGGGTGGTGATGACGGGTTGTTTGTGTAGAGAGATGAAAAGGGTAATTTGGCCATTTAAATTTTTGATATTTTATAATTAAAATTAATAAAATAGTTAAGAGTAAAATGGACTTTTCACATGATTTAAGGCTCTGTTTGGATAACATATTTTACAAGAGGGTGTTGTTGTCAAAAAATAGACAAACTTTCTTTTGTGTGGCCTTACCCAAAACCTCAAGAGGTATCTATGTACTTTACCTTTTTTTTTTTTTTTTTTTTTTGGTTATAATTTGCTTGGTTTGAGAGTTAGGTTAGGCTTCTTAATATATATATATTTTTATGGAAGGTAAAAAACGATAGATGAGGTGTGATATGTTACTCTAATTTTGGTTCATTGGATACAAGTTTTCTAAATTTTTATTTCCTCAAAATTAATAAACCTATATAAATCTCCTAGTTTTTTTATCTTAACATTCTCAATGAATAAAAGATTGATATGGTATTTACCAGCAATATGGTAATTTTACATATTTGAATAAATTGTAAAAACTTAAAAGCTCCATTGTAATATTTCACGGAAAGAATCAATTTGTCCATTTGAGACTTGAATCATTCACCTTTTATTTTAGAATATAAGGAAGTAGTTATAAATTATAATGTCTTTGATTATAATAATTTCACATAATTTGTTAATTTGTTTAACCATGAAAGACTCACCGTGTGATTCAATGCCTTAACAAATAATGTTCACCATGTATTTGTTCCATTGGGCTTAAAGGTTTTATTCAGTAACACAAATAGGATCTAATGATAAGAAGATACTCTAAAATATACTATTTAAGAGGCCAGTACCACTATTTAAATAAATAAAGTGAAAAAAAATACAACAAAAACAAAAACTAGGTGGTTGAGAAAACGAATTTATGATCTGTCACCCTTAGTTGATGTAACTTCTCCTTATTTAGAGTGGAGGTGAAAGGTTAAGTCCTACAATGGAGTACAATTATAGTATCATTTTTTATTTAAAATTTGGGCATAAAAAATGTAAAACGTAAAAATAAGCTAATATATGTATACGAATGCTAATAAAAAAAAAAACCGTAATAAAAAATCAGTAGCAAATATATATTTTATTTTTTCAACCATATTCCATTTTTTTTTTTTTTTAAATTATAGGTTTGTATGTGTATTTGTTTGGATACCTTATGTTTTTTACTTTAAAAAAAATAAGTATTATATGACACTAATTATTACCCTTGCCGGTTATAATTGCACACTATTTAAAAATAAGCTATCACCGAAACAATTTAAAAATAATTCAAAATAGGCAAACAATCCGTCATAATGGCAATATTTCATAAGACATAACAAGTTACAACTTTAAGTTATATCAACTTGTAACATAAAGCAAATGGTTACATGTGGTGTATTCCACCTAACATTTATGTCCAAAATGAGCTTATAAGTGCTTAAATGTTGCACATTTCAGCACCTAAACTACGGTATTTTAGTCATTGCATCTATCTTATTTTCATGTTTTAATTTTAATTTATATTTTTGTCAATGTCAGATCAATAAGGTTCAAACAGACTAATTTCGGTTCATTAAAGCCTTTTTAGAGACAAGTAAAGACATTCGGAAAAAATTCAGAAAATGGCAAAAAGAGGTCGCAGCTCATTGTTCGTATAATGTGCTTATTCTTCAAAAGCGATCAATTCTACCTTTTTTCGAGCCTTTGATGATGTTCCCAAAGATCAAGAAGCAAACAGATTAACCCGGGGCCAATATGGAGCTAAATAAGGCTTGAAGGAAGTTCCAACACTTGGGGGACGATCCCTCACTATTCACAGAACTAAAAATGCCCCTGAGTGATCAATCCCCCAGCCCCTGGCAGCATTACGGGATTTATGTGTACTTGGCTACTAGATTTTATTATTTTAGGGGGAGTTTTTATGTTTTTATTATTAAGTTTTTATTTTCTGTAATCGAGATATCGATATTCTCTTTGCAAAACACAAAAAAGAAAAAAATTTAGAGTTCTTGAGAAAAGTTCAGAGAAGAAGAAGAAGAGCAGATGAATCAAAAGATGGGGCTTGTTGACATCTTGCATCCATCAACCATGAGCGGCTAATTCTTCAACTTAGGGTTGGATAAACTCTGAGTATGTAACCTATCTTTTCTCTCTTTTACTATTTTGGGGATTTAATTTATGTAATTTTTGTTATAGCCTTGATATATATATATAATAATTCTTTCAATTGATTATCTTTGTCAATCTCATATTGTCTTATATGTTTTTGAATAATAATTAATTTTTACACTTGATTTCTTTGTGAATTGAATCA